CAAGCAGAAACTTTTGTGTTTCAGAATGTAAAAACAAAACAAACAAAGAAACAAAACAACCTCTTCCAGTGCAGAAGTGGCTTTTCCTACTGTCTCTGGGACACAGAGCACCCTGTCAACCTTCTGGTCTACTTAAAGAAACATTTCCTTAGCTGGGCACGGGCCCACACCAGTAATCGCAGCACTCAGGAGGCAGAGGCAGGCGGATCTCTGTGAGTTCGTGGCCAGCCTGGTCTACAAAGCGAGTTTAGGACAGTCAGGGCTATACAACTCTGTCTCAAAAAACTGAAAGGGGAAAAAAAAAAAGGAAACACTTCCTTACTCATCTTTGTAAACACAACCAGGAGAACTAAGAACATGTTCGTTGTACCTGGTCTTATGTTGAGGGCTTTGATCCATTTGAAATTAAAGGGGGATAAGTATGGGTCTCTTTGCATTCTTTACATGCAGCCATCCAGTTTGGCCAGCACCATTTGTTGAAGATGCTGTCTTTTTTCTAGTATGTATTTCTGGCTTCTTTATCATCATTGTTTAAGCTCATTGTTCAGTCCCTGTGTTCAGTTCCTGTCCCTAGCCCTTTGTATGTTTGTGAGCATAGCATTTAATATTTTAAAAAATTTAAAAATATTATTATATGTATGTGGGGTTTTTGCTTGCATGTGCGCCTGAGTACCATGTGCATGCCTGTTGCCCAGGGAGGTCAGAGAGGGCATTGGATCTCCTGGAACTGAAAGTACAGATGCTTGTAAATGGCCATGTGGGTGCTGGGAATTGAACCTGGTTCTCTGGAAGAGCAGCACTAAGCTGCCTCTCCAGTCTATTATTTAGCATCTTAATGACTCAGTTTCTCCACTACATTTTTTGAAATTACGTTTATGTATTTACTTATTTATTGTGTGCGCATGTCTGTGTGGTACAGAGTGCATGCGGAGGTGAGAGGACAGCGTACAGAATGCGGTTCTCATCTTCCATGTGGGTTCTAGAAATTGAACTGACCTTCTCAGGCTTGGGGCCAAGTGCCTTCACCTTCTGAGCCATCCCCCCAGCCAAGTTTTCCACTTTGAGGATGAAGGCAGTAATTATACATCCTTCAGAGAGTCATGAGCTGAGACAAGGCATGAAGGTCTTCAAAATAGTATCTGAAAGATATGTAGCTGATAAACAGCAGCCATTATAACAATGCAGACAATCAAGAAATCTGCAGAAAAGACTGGCTGTCTACTGGGAGACGTCAGGGAATGTCTTAGCTCCATTTGACCTGGATATATTAGTTGGCAGCCTGTCACTGTATCAGAGTACCTGAAACAGGCTGTGTGGGGCATATTTAGCTCACAGTTTTGAAGGTTCAAGGTCAGAGTGGCTCAGGATTGATCTGAGTCTGTATTGCCAGATGACAAATGGCAATAGCAATGAAAGGAGACTATATTGGAGGCAAAGAAGTAAAGCAGGAGCAGGCGAGAGTGGGAGTGTAAACAAGACAAAGAGAACAGGGACCTATGATCCCTGAGGATGTAAGAACCAGTCACAGGAGTCAATGGTTAGAGGCCTGACTCAATCATCACCCCAGGAATTGAAGGGAAGAAATGGTCATGGAAAGGTGGGACAGGAATGGAGTCAGTGTGACAAGAGGTGAAGCATTCATCAGGGAGAATTAGCTCAGGGGTGAGAAGGAAGCATAAGTAAGGAGTCTGTCATCCTGTGGTCTGAGTGGTCCTTAGTGCAGTTCTAGATTTTCCAGAAGCTGGAAGAGAGCACTTCCTCCCCCACCACCCAATTTGGGGTGTGTGTGGTGGGGGGAAGGGGCAGGGAGAGAGACAGTCAGTCTCACCATGGAAGTGATCTGGTTAAAGACCTGTTCCTGATTCTAAGGTGACTGTAAGTCAGGAGCAAAGACCAGGAACTTCTAGATGCTGCTGCAGGTCAGGCTGAACCTGAGGGAAAACCTGACCTTTGAATGTCCTTGCAAATTTTGAAAATACTTTACTTTTATCTTGATGCCTTTGGTCTGGAAGGGGGATGAGACAGGATGTGATATTTATGGCTAACCAACCCTGATTTACCGGTTTTTATGCAGCTATTTCTTAAATGATTAACTTGCCTGTGTGCAGATTTGAGCAAAAATCTCATCTGAAATTTGAAGATTAATGAGACCAGATGCAAAATGAGAGCCCAGTTGGCTTTTAGCTATCCATTGTGACATTTGCAGGCCCATGTATGTGTGTGTCTGTGTCTATGTCTGTGTCTGTGTCACTCCTATTAGGCCTCTTTTTTCTTTTTTTTTTTTTTTTTTTTTTTGCTTTGCTTTTTGAGATGGGATTTCTCTGTGCAGCTATGGGTGTCTTGGAGCTCTCTCTGTAGACCAGGCTGGCCTTGGACTCAGAGATCCGCTCTCCTCTATCTTCATTATCTTCAAAGTGCTGGGATTAAGGGTGTGTGTCACCCCTGTTGGCTTAGGCTCCACCTCTTTAATGTCTCAGTATCACATCACTTTGGGGACCAAGAATTTATGCACAAGGTTCTTTGGTTCTAGACCATATGAGAGAAGTAGGAGTTTGCTTGGTGGAGTTGCTAGGTATCCCGGGACTGTGGAATGGTGGAGATAGGAAGACAATGGTGTCCTCAGAAGCAGCTGTGTTGGGCAGTCCAGCAAAGCTGCTTCATAGGATGAGATGTGCTAATAAGTGTGTAAAAAGCACGTTTCCGTCTCATGTGATTATCCACCAGTTTCTGGTTGTCTGTGAGATTGTTAAATTCTTAATGTGGAATATATAATTTTATGATAGTGATTGGTGCTTTTGGTCTCTGTGAATTTGGACCTTCCTAGTTCTGACACACACACACACACACACACACAAAAAAAAAAAAAAAAAAAAAAAAAAAACACCCCACAGCTGTTAGGACCATGGCCCAGGAACATGGGTACACAGTCAAGGTCAGTGTACCCCAAATACCATGTCCCAATGTGGTAACAGTTTCATGAAGCCTTTATAGTTAAAGAGCAACAACAACAAAAAGTAAATCAAGACACATCAGGAACATTGGTGGAAACACTAGGTAGGTGGATTACAGCGAAGTGGAGGAAATCTGTGCTGTAGAACTCAGAAGTTGTCTGATGATAACCTTAGTCCTGGGTTGGTAAAGTTCAGTGGCCTCTTTCTGTATTCCAGTGGGCTTTACCTAATAGTTATAGGTGTTTAGTGAACACAAAAGTGGGCAGTGAGAGTGGACTTTGGGAGCTCAAGGTAATTTGGGTCCTAACTGTAACATTCAAGTTCTCCACAATGACAGGGCTTTAAAAAAGTTATTTATTATTATTGCATATGATGTGTGTGTGGGTGAGAGGCACACTCATGCCCCTGTGCATATGTGAAGTCAGGATGATGCTGTGGACTGACTTCTCTCCATCTTCTTTGTAGATCCAGAGGGTGAGCTCAGGTCCTTAGGCTTCATTAGAAAAAACCTGTTGCTTGCAAGCCATGTGGACAAAGCATACACATGGTGGGCAAGTACTCAACCATTGAACTACATCTCCAGCCCTTCATACTTCAAAAACTTAAAAGTTGCTGCTTAGAAACAGAGATCACAGTCTCAATTACAGCCCAAGGTTTAGTCCCCTTTATGCTTTCTAGTACATTCAGAAGTACTTCACATTTTATTCATCTGCGTTCCTATAGCTAAACCTATAGAAAGGATGAGTGGTACTTCTAGAGTTAATTTAGAGTTTTAAATAATGCATTTTGAAAAAGCTACTCAGGTTGCCCATAAGTCTCAGCATCTGCACTGATAGTCTGCAGGACAGAGCCTTTTAGAGGGCCTATGTATGGGCAACCTTTGGGCAGAGTGCATGGAATCTTATGAAAGAAATGGGAAACAGTAAGATCTGGAGAGGACAGGAACTCCACAAGGAGAGCAACAGAACCAAAAAATCTGAGCACAGGGGTCTTTCCTGATACTGATATTCCAACCAAGGACCATGCATGGAGATAACCTAAGACCCCTGCACAGATGTAGCCCATGGCAGTTCAGTATCCAAGTGAATTCCCTAGTAATGGGAACAGGGACTGTCTCTGACATGAACTGATTGGCCTGCTCTTTAATTACCTCCCCCTGAGGGGGAAGCAGCATTACCAGGCCACAGAAGAAGACAATGCAGCCACTCCTGATGAGACTTAATTGACTAGGATCAGAAGGAAGGAAAAGAAGACCTTCCCTATCAGTGGACTTGGGGAGGGGCATGCATGCAGAGGGTGGAGGAAGGGAGGGATTGGGACGGGAGGAGGGAGGGAACCACGGGGGGGGGGGTAATACGAAGTGAATAAAGTGTAATTAATAAAGAATTAAAAAAAATAAAATAAAAACACACCACCACCAAAAGCTACTCAGGGAGCACCAAAATCAACTCCTAAGTGGGATTGTGTAATTGCCATGCCTAGAAAACTTTAAAACACTATGTATATGCCAAAATTTCTGTCTGAAATAGTGTGGGTTGGGTTCTAATGTTGGGGAGTAGCCAGGTGACTCGAAGAGGAGGGTGAGGACCTTTGAGCATCATTCTCAGGATGCCCCTGACATCCGCTGTGTGAGCTGCTGTTGCTGTCAGAGGCTCCCCACAATTCCCTACTTTCCTGTAGCACAGTATTGTCCCTTCTCTGTTACAGAGTCTAAGTGAAGACAGTATGGCAGGGAATGGGTCTTGTGGTAGATACTGCATTTCATCCAGTTAGAGAGGTAGTAAGAACCAGCTGCTCACAGGAATGTGACATTCAGATCTGTGCCCCAAAATTGTACACTTAATATTAGAGTGTACACTTAATATTAGAGTTCTGGGTATGAGATCAAAACAGCAGTGATAGACCGTGGACATGGGTTAAAATAAATCCCATCACTGTCGTCTTCTGGCTTTTAGTTGGCTATTATGTTTTAATACTCTGTATTTGCTAGGATGACTCTAGGGTACAGGGACTGACACTAAAATAAGTGTAACTGACGTTTTCTTTCAGGTTTACTAAAAATTTATCTCCTGACAAGATCAATCTGAGCACCCTCAAAGGAGAAGGCGAGCTGAAGAACCTGGAGCTGGACGAGGAGGTGCTCCAGAACATGCTGGATCTGCCCACCTGGCTGGCCATCAACAAAGTGTTCTGTAACAAAGCGTCCATCAGGGTAAGTCTCAGATGCCTCAGATGCCTGCTCTCAGCTTTTTTCTCTAACTTTAAAATGAGTACTCTGCTTCAGATCCTCTTAGAAAGAAGTACGTTATTCCTATAATTTACACAGAAAATAGCTGCGTGAATGATTATGTCCATCCCTTACGGGTGCAATTGAGGTATTAAAATTTTGTTTAGAACAATTTTTTGATATTTTAATACAATTAATCTTTTGTAAATTAACTTCTTCATTTTGGCATATAGTCAACAACAGCCCTCCAACCCCAGAATTTATTGTCAAATGAAATGCTTTAAATTTATAATACTTTATAATAAATTTAAATTTATAATACTTTAAAGATATGTAAGAATTGTCATTTTTTACTGTAGACATTATGCTGTTTTAGAGTTTTATCTTTTTCATGTGTTTCTTTGTTATTTTGAGAAATTTAAGGATTTTTATTTACCTTATTATTATTGTTCATACTATTCTACTGATTTTTGTTTCTAATCTTATGTTAGTTCTTATAGCTTACAACTTCTTGATGTTAAAGACCAGGCCTAGATTGAGAGGTTGCTTGGGAAAGACAATGCATGTTAATGTTTTTATAAAGCTAAGGTTTGGGTTTCCTTTGGAAAGGGTGCTATTGTATTCTTTGGTGTTCATCGTTAACTTGGGTCTATGACTCAAATACCACCAAAGACTTAACTAGGTATATGAACATTGTATATGATATAGCTGGCATTTTCCATCAGTGATTTTATTTTGGATTTACTTTGAATACCGCAAAAATGCTGGTCGGAATTCTAAAGTTAAATTGATAAACAGAACAGTGGTTATGCTTTGCTGATAATTCTTAAATTATGAAATTAAAATGTATTTTAAGAACTGGTAAAATCATGTAACAGAACTTGAAATTCTCTAAAATGCCAGCTATTTTTTTAATATAATGTAGATACCTCGGTTTCAATAGTATGAATAATTTGCTCAATTTATCATTTTACAATCTGAGAGAGATGTATAATGTAAGTTGCTGTCTCTTTTATGTGAAGAAATGTATATTGATTACTAGTTCATATTGTTTTAATAATTCATTTTAAAGAAAAAATTTATTTGTAGATTCCATGGACGAAACTGAAAACACATCCCATTTGTTTGGTGAGTACTGAAACTGTTTCAAAATAAGCATTTACATATGCAAAGTAACTCTAAGTGCTGATATTTTGTTTCTTGGACTTTCTACCTATTAGCTTCCGCTTTATTTTTATTGAACTTATTTTTTTAGCTATTTATATGAGAAACTTGAACTTTAAGTTAAGAGGAATTTTAAAGTTTTTATTTCTAGAATATTATATTCCATTTGCCATCTTTTATTTTTATCATTTAAAATCTTCACTGACATAGAATTACTTCAATAACTTTTGACCCTGGCCTTCTGCACTCTTGCTCTTCTTGGTCTAATAAGTTTAGTAATATGTTCTGTAATACACTTAACTTTTTAAAGAAAATTGAATAAAATAGATGAGTTAACTTTTTTTTTTAAATCTAAGTTATATTTGTGTGTGTGTGTTCGCGTGCACACTCCTGCCAAGGTGGGCATATGGCAGTAAAGGACAACTTTCAAGAACTGGCTCCCTTCTTCTACCATGTGGTCCAGCGAGGAGACTTAGGGTTAGGTTGCCTACCTTTTGCAGATGTGCCTTTACCTGATCTATTTTTACCAGCCCTGGAGTTTTTATTGATTTGTTTCATAATTTTGGGGGTGGTGTTCTGAACTGAATTGGTGTATTTGAGCCTGTTAAGCTAATTTCTGTCTCTAGCCTCATTCCAAAAATATTCTTTATAAAATCTCCTGTTTTCTTTTTGGTTTTTCGAGACAAAGTTTCTCTGTGTAGATCTGGGTGTCCTGGATTCACTTTGTAGACCAGGCTGGCCTTGAACTCACAGAGCTCTGCCTGTCTCTGCCTCCTGAGTGCTGGATTAAAGGTGTGTGCCACCACAACCAGCCAATCTTCTTCTTGTTCTTGACTTTGGTCATCATTGAATAAGATACTTCTTATTTATCTTAAATGTATTCTTACCCCCAAATCTTAAAAAAGTCTAAAAGACAGGAAATGTAACACTAAATATCATCTTCCCATAATCACTTATTCTACTCACTTTACTCATTTCAGTTATTGGTTTCTTCCAAACTCTACCCAGTGGTCCAAGGTAGACCTCAGTTACTGTTAACTCTAACCGTTGACTAAATCTCTAGAGTCTCTGATTGATCTTGCTGCATTCCTACAGTCACTTCTTGTCTCTTTCCTGAAATAATGCCACCACCTTCTCAATGCTCTTCCTGCCTCCATTCTCTTTTCTCCTCTGAAATGAAAGCATAATTATTAATGAATATTTGTATAAATCAGAAATCTGATTAGGTTTCTGTGATGGGTAGTGTTAACTGTCAACTTGACTAAAATTACTTGTTACTTGATCTTAAATTAATATTTTAACAGAAGTTGACTGAACAAATACACAATAAAATGAGATAATTTTAGGTAATGATAAATGGTGTATTTAAAATAAAGAATGAAGAAGTTCTGGATTTGTAGACACATTCACTGTTAAAAACATTAGATATCTCTTCAACAAGAAAATTATCTGGAAAGAACTTTTTCTACTGTGGGAATATTTCTCATGCTCATTTCATAATTTGCTTAGCTTTGTGTTCATATCTCAGGTCTCAAGATGAGACAAGACTTTTAGATGTAGTTTAGTCCAACTCATTAATATGTAGTTTATCAATAATGTGACAGGTACAGGATTAGAGATTATGCTTCATTAAATTTAGTGATCTCATCAGTTAATGGCTGCTTCTGTATCCCCTGACTGATAGAATGTGTATGCAAGCTTTTCCTCCAGGAGATCAGTGCCTCAGTGTAGGACTGAATGCTTTGTTTTCCCCTTTTGTGTTTTTTAAGTTGTTAGTTTTGGTCTTAAATAAACAAAAGAGAAAACACACTTCCATAGTGCACCTAACTGTCTAATTATTTAATCTTTTCTTAGTCTCTAGATAAGGTAATAATGGAGATGAGTACATGTGAAGAGCCACGAGCCCCTAATGGCCCCTCACCAATTGCAACTGCTTCAGGACAGAGGTGAGCCGTGTCCTCTACTCTGTGTGGCTGTTCCATGTGGTCTTTTCTATAGTGGGCTCTCTATCTGCAGCAACAGGACAGGAAGAATATAAAATCCTTTGACCTCAGATACCCTCTGCCTCAGCCACCTCACTGTTAGACAGTGTTCACATTTAGCTAGTAGCAGGTTATTTTTAATTTTCATTCCTCTAGATTATCATACTGTTAAATAGTAATGAGTAGCCAAGAGCAGTGCAGAGGAGCTTAGGTATTCTATAAATCTTAATTTTTTATTATAATATCTATCTGTGGTGTCATTTTCTATGTATTCAGTTAACTGTGACTAGTGACAGTCTAAAAATACTATATGGAAAGTTCTAGACATAAACTATTCATAAGCTTGAAAATCTGTGTCATTATGAGTGTCATGAAAGACTGGAAATTAAGGGGAGATGTAAATCATCCTTTTGCCCAGTGTGTTCCTGCTGCATAGACTGCCAGTTAGTCATTCAGCTGCTGCCCGGGTTTTCTGTCAGTTATCAGTGTCAAGTAACTTTACCTAGTAGTGCTCACAAAAATAATAGTACATACCCCCTTTGCTTTATTTAATCTATCATATAGGCCTATATTTTCTTACATTACCACAAGAAGGGTGTGTTTAGCCTGAGGTATTTTGAGATGGGGATGGAACTCAGTTGACAGAGTATTTATTAGCATGTTCATAGCCTTGGATGTATGCAGTACTGTGTATAAACATGTGGTAGGAAATGACTGCAACCCCAGCCCTCAGGAAGTAGAGGTCTTGGAGCATTAATATTTCTCTGCACCTCATTTCCTAGACATTAATGAACTTCTGTCATTCCTAAAACTTAAATTTCTTGGTAAATTACAGACTTTTAGATAACTATAAAATTCATTAAATATAAAATGTCACTTTAAAAAAATTTGACTTTTCACAAGTTAAGACTAGTTAAATAAACATCAGATGCTAGCTGGGCAAGGTGGAACATGTCTTTAATCCCAATACTCAAGAGCAGAGGTAGCTTTATCTCTGTGATTTTTGAGTCCCGCCTGGTCTATAGAGCAAGTCCATGACAGCCATGGCTACAAAGAGAAACCCTGTCTCTCTCAACAAAAGAAAAAAAAAAAAAAGATGCTAACAAGATAGTAGCATGTGGTATGGACTCTTTTTATACCGCTTTATGGAATAGTTGAGATAGACTTTTAAGACTTGTTTATGGGGCTGGAGAGACGGCTCAGGAGTTAGGAGCACTTTTTGCACTTGCAGAGGATCCAGGTTAGGTTGCCAGCCACATGGCTGCTCACAACCTCCTGAAACTCCTGTTCTAGCATTGTCCAACATCCTTTTCTGGCCTCTGTTACATATGCAGGCAAAATATTCATATGTATAAAATAAAGATAAATCTAAAAAGAATTACTTGTTTAGGAGTTGGTAAGATGGCCCAGCGGGTGAGGGCTACCGGGGTACACACCGTGGAAGCAGAGGACAAACTCCGACTGGTCCGTAGCTTCCTGGGTTTGCGTAATGTTTTCCATTCTGTGCTGCAGTGACTGACAGCTGCGTTTATTGGCTGCAGAGCTTAGATTTGGACTACATGTAACAGTGGCAGGGAAAATGGCTTTTATGTTAACTTTATAATTTCTCCTCTATCTAGAAACTTGAGATTTTAGAGAACGGATTAAAATTTCTCAGTTGATAGAGTGCTTGGTATTTAGATTGGTTAGAGAGTCGAAGAATTGGAGAAAAGGTAGAAATACTGTGAAAGGGAAAAACAGTAGGAAAATGTGTAGTAAGACATTTCTCTTTTTTGGCATTTTTTTATTTTGGAAAAATGTATGTTAGATATTGGGGCTTTAAAATTTTTTTTTACTTTTATTATTTTTTTAATAAGTTTTATTTTTTTTATATTAATTACAGTTTATTTACTTTGTATCCCAGCTGTAGCCCCCTCCGTCATTCCCTCCCAATCCCACCCTCCCTCCCACATCTCCTCCCTGCCTCTCTCTGAGTTCACTGATAGGGAAGGCCCTCCTCCCCTTCTATCTGACCCTAGTTTATCAGGTCTCATCAGGACTGGCCACAATGTCCTCCTCTGTGGCCTAGCAAGGCTGCTCCTCCCTCGTATTTTACTTATCAATGACAACATTAACACTTTTTTTGAATTTATGTTTTTTGAGCAGGTTTCTCTGTTTTAGCCATTACTGTCCTGGAACTCACTTTGTAGACGAGGCTGCCCTCAAACTCATAGAGATCCTTTTGCCACTGCCTCCTGAGTTTTGGGATTAAATGTATGTGCCATCACCACCTGGCTATTAGGGCATTTTATGTATGAACTTGTATGAGACTATTAGCTAGTAATTTTTAATGACTTTATTCTAACTTTAGTGCGCTATATTTTGTTTTGCTCTGTTTTCCAGTGAATACGGCTTTGCTGAAAAAGTAGTTGAGGGAATTACTGTTTCTGTCAATTCCATTGTCATCAGAATTGGAGCGAAGGCTTTCAATGCTTCCTTTGAACTTTCTCAGCTCCGTATCTATAGTGTCAATGCAAACTGGGAACATGCAGACTTGAGATTTACTCGTATTCAAGATCCACAGAAAGGAGAGGTAAAAGACTTTTTTCTTACTAAAAAGCATTTTAGTCAGTGATAAATGCACACAGACATTAAAAAAATTACATCCAGGCCAGCTCTGTGGGTGAGGACATTTGCTACCAAGCCTGATGACCTGAATTACATCCCTGAAACCCACATGTTGGAAAGAGAAAACTGACCCCTGCTCAGGCACATGGGTGCTCACACATATGCACACATATACACGCATGCACACAATATCAATTTAAAAAATAAGTAAAGCAAGTGGAGGGATGGCTCAGCAGTTATGAATACTTGATGCTATTGCAGAAGATGTGGGTTTGGTTCCAGAACTCACACTGGAGGACTCACAGCCACCTGTAACTCCAGTTCAGGGGGATCCCATTCCCTTTCTCCTTTGCTGGCTTCCATGCACTGGTGGTGCGCATACATACACACAGGTGCTCACGGGTGCTCACATACGTTCACGCACTTGCACACACACGAATAAAATAATTACATCTGTGATTGTCTGGAGTCACATTCTAGTTGGTTTTCTCTTTTGGACTTGAAAGTATGCTTTTCTATTATCCTAAATCACTTAGTTATAAAATGCTAGTGTTTTAAAGTTTTGCTATATAAATCTTTCACCTTATGGAAGTAATGAGTCCTATCCTACTTGTTAATTAAAAAAAAATTGTCTGTCTCTCTGTGTGTGTATGTGTAAGTCAGAGAACAACTCTGTGAGGTCAGTTCTCTTCTTCCATACTCATGTGGGTTCCAGGGATCAAGCTCAGGTGAATATTTCACAGGGAACACCTTTTGTTCCTTTGTTTTGTTTTGCTTTTGAGACAGATTTCTCTGTGTAGCCTTGGCTGTCCTGGAACACACAGCAGTCTGCCTGCCTCTGCCTCCCCAAGTGCTGGGACCCCAGGTGTGCGCCACCATGGCCCCGTGCCCAGACACTATTTTAACGATGGTTATGGTGCTGCTTGTCATTTAGGCTGTTCTCTAAATGCAGTTGCCGAGAGTCTTACAGACGAGTACAGCTCTGGACATGTGTTGTTGGATCTGATGAAGCATATAAAAGTAGCATGAATATTTTTAGACTCTCACAAAAATTAATTGGGAAGGTGTGTTTTTTGATTTGTTTTCAGAAATATATACTTTTCTCATTTTGCATGAGTGTTCGCAGCTAATCTCTATTTTCTTTTTAGGTTTTGACATTCAAAGAAATAAACTGGCAGATGATTCGAATTGAGGCAGATGCTACCCAAAGTTCACATCTTGAAATTATGTGTGCTCCTGTTCGATTAATAACAAACCAGTCAAAAATCAGAGTCACCCTTAAGAGAAGAGTGAGTAAGCCATCTCTGCCCCATGTTAGCTGTTTGGGTAGGCGGAGCATTAGGGAAGCACAGACAGGAAGTGCTCTCTCAGACAGTGTTGGCAGGTGAGGGGACCCGGGGTGCCGCTTGTGGAACACTAAAGTAGTTACAGCACTCTCCATCTGGTTCAAGTTCTCAGAGGTTTGTATTCTCCGCAAATTGAATAGATTCTTTCAGATTCAGATATTTGTTGAATATCTAATGTCTTAGAATTTCATTTCACAGGCTAGGAGTGTAACTTGTGGTAGAATGCTTACTTAGTATGAATAAGGCCCTGAGTTCAGTCCTCAAATGCAGCTAGGAAAGAAGATTATGAAGAAGTTGAGGAGGAGGAAGAAGAAGCAATTTCTCTTCCTGAGTTTTGTTCGACAATGGTTTTTATTATCAGTGGTCAAAACTTTAACCTTCAGTACATTTTTAAGATATTTCCAGAGGGCAGGCAGGGTGCGCACACCTTTAGCCCAGCACTCGGAAGGCAGGCAGGGTTCCAGTCCCCGTTCCATAGAGAAGCCCTGTTTCAAACAAGCAAGAAGATACTACTGGAAACTCACAGAAATGAAAGGAGCGGTCAGAGCGTTAGAGCCTGAGAGCCCCTGACTGCTGCTGAAGCATCATGAGGAGATGGTACTTTTAAACAGGCCTAACCAAAGACTCTGCAGCATGCCTGTGCTTGTGTCACTGGCACACTGACATAAGCAACTGTGGTAACTCCACAGAAGGGAGGCTTCTCTGAGCTGAACAGAGTATCCCTGAACCTGAAATGTGGGTGAAATGGCCTTTGATGAGTTGTAATTCCTCTTCATCAGGTAGGATGAGTTCAGTTAATAGAAGCAAGTATGGTCTGTCATCTGCACATACGAATCACATACATGTAATGTGTACTTCAGAAAACTATCAGTCTTTTTTAGCACTACTATCTCTAGCTTTGGGAAATAGTCTATCTTACAGGAACTCAATAAATTTTGTTACATTTTCATTTCATTGTGGGAAGGGGGACACATGCTACACTGTGTGGAGGTCAGAGGATGATTGTGTATTGGGGGTATTAGGTCTCTCCTTCCACTCTGTGGGTCTCGAGGATTGATCTCGGGATATCAGTCTTGGTGGCAGGAGACTTTGACTGCTGAGCCATCTTACTTAAAGGAAGGCAGCATCCATACCCACATTTAATCCTACTAAGAACTTTATGCTTTTTATGTAAGCATCATGTAAAATGTAAGTATGTTGTAAGTTTTATTTGTAGATTAATTTCCTAAATCATTTTTATTACAGTTAAAAGACTGCAATGTCATTGCCACAAAGTTAGTTCTAATACTGGATGATTTGTTATGGGTTTTAACGGATTCCCAGTTGAAAGCTATGGTGCAATATGCAAAGTCTCTTAGTGAAGCAATAGAAAAATCAACAGAACAAAGGAAGAGTATGGCTGCTGAACCTACGCAGGTATGCTACAGATTCCCAGAAGAAAGACTGTGTGTAACTAGTTTAAACGATTAGATTGGTGAGTTGGTAATTCCTTTGCATGTTATTGAGCCAAGCATCTTCTTTATCTAAATATGTTACAGTATAACGTCATTTAGGACATGACTGTTTGTCTGGTGCTTATTGTGTTTGGAGCTCTTTGTGTAGGGTGTAGAGTACTGACACTGCGTACTTGATGGTGTAATGCATGGAGGACGTAGAAGTATGTTGAGTCTCCCATTTCATCCTGCTTGGCCTTATTTCCTTGAAACAGAGTCTCTCGCTGAACGTTCTGTTAGGGTGGCAGCCAGCCCCACTAATCCTGTCTCCACCCTCACAGTGCTCGGGTTATAGTGGTGGTGTTCCACTTTTTACGTGAGTACTGCGGACTTGGAGCTCAAGTCCTTGTGCTTGTACATTAAGTGCTCTTATGCACTGAGCCGTTGCCTAGCCCAATAATGCTTTTCAGGAAGTTAAAAAAAATCATTTTTAAACTTTTTGAGGTAAAGGGAAATAGAAATAACAGCTGGGTGTTATAAGAGCAGGTACAGAAGGTTGTTAGCACAAATAGCTAGAACTGTTTGGAGACACGTTGAAGACAAAACTTATGTTAGAATTTGCTCATGGCCAGCGGTGGGGTGGCTGTAGTGAATCAGAAGCCTCAATTTATCTGAAGAAAAAACATTTTCAGTCTTTCCCAGTATTAAATTCTGATTCCTAATATATAAACATCTTTGTAGAAAGGATGTGGAAAATTCCAGTGAGTACTATCTTTGATAATTTTATTAAAGTAGAAATAAATTTCATAGCTTGCTGTTGTAAATTTTATGAAATGTTATAAAATCTTCTTCTCGCTTATTGGTGGTAGAGCTTGGTACCTGGAAGTGGCATCATTTAGGCTTTGGTGTTGTTCATACTGACATTGTTGGCTGCCTACCTGCTTACAAGGGTACATAGGCATCTGTTTGCATGGAATAAACAAGTACTGTGTGGCCCTGCCTTCAAGGGCCGCAGAGTTAGGGAGAGGGAAGTATAACGTAAACACTGCAGTTTCCCATAATTGTTAGAGGAGAGAAGCAAGAGAGAGGGAGGCAGAAAAACGATAGGAGCCCCAAGTTTCAACTGACCTTCTGCAGAATTTGGAGAAGTTTTGTAAGTAACACAACGATGCCATGTCTTAAAAAGTGAAGAACCAAGCTGGGAAAAGTGCTTGTTGAACCATCATTGGGGTCCAGATTTTGATCCCCAGCATCCATGTAAGGCCGGATATAATGCAGGTGCCTTTAGTCCCAGTCCTCTTGTGGCGTGATAAGAAGTGGAGACAGGAGAAACCCTGGAAGTTTGTGTCCAGATAGCCTAGCTGTGAGAAAGAGATTTTGTCTCTTAGATGGAAGGTGGGGTTGTCCTGTGACCTCCACACATACTGGCACACAGAGGCCTGTATCCACATAGCATGCACACATCCTACACTCTGTGTCTGAGATCTATATTTACTAGCTTAACAGCTCTTAATTTCTTCTGACTGCCTGAGAATATGCTTGGTTTAGATGTTACATGTGTTTTTCCATGCTGTGATTGCACTTATCCTACTTAAGAAATGAAAAGCACCCTCTTACAAATGTGCAGTCAGTGATGGATTTGTCCAGGAAGAAAAAGTACTTCTGGGAACAAAACATAGGAAATTTGAACTACTTGCTGCCAGAAATGAATGATTCTCTTGACTCAGTGACAAGAGACGTCCATTAACTTTGCTTTGAGTACGTGTGGAGGGGGAGCTACTATCTCTCAGGAAGAACTGTAAAAGTATTGGGTTATTGGCAGTAATAGCATATGGTGAGCTGTTCTGAATCCAAGCCAGCCGCTTGGAGTTTACAGCACTGAATTCCATTTTAAAAACAAATTTACCTCATTGCACTCCACCCATTGTCGTGAACAAAATTTTACAGCACTTATAGCCAGGGAAACAAGTAAGTACCTACCAAATTGATGGCGAGACTTGCCTCCTTCTGCAAGGTTTGTAATACTTAGCCAAGAGACACTTTCTGAGTTCTCTGGGGAAGCCTAATTTATTTATCTTTACTTTTTATTGTTTTGGGGCTTTGAGACAGGATCTCACAATGTAGCCCTGGCTGGCTTGGAATGTACTTTGTAGATCAGGTTGGCCTTGAAGTTAGAGAGAATTCCATGTGTCTCTGCCTCCTGCGTGCTGGGAGGAGTGTGCCACCATGACTTGTCCTGACAGCCTAACTTTAAATTGAGGAGCAGCTTATGGGACTGCAGAAGGAAAGAATGGGTGGACAAGAGGGACTTTGTACGTGTGTGTGTGTGTGTGTGTGTGTGTGTGTGTGTGTGTGTGTGTGTATGTGTGGCATCTGAGCACTAATAGGAATTTTCTAAGCACAAGTTCAGTCAGACTTCTGACTGCATTATGGATGAGCTAAAGAAGAGAGTAAGCTTGGAGCCAGTTTAGAGGAAGTATGTACATGCATTTTTGAAAATAGCTTGAAAGAAATATCAAGTCAGATTGGAAAGCATCATCTTCGTCTTCTGGAAGTTATGGATAAGGAACTGAGGACTTCAGAATGACAGAATCTTGTTTCGTTAGCCATAAAAAGAAATGCAAAGGAGGAAGCAGCTTTGATTGAAGGGGTGCAGGTAAAGAAAACTAGGTATGTACAGATGTTTACTGAAATTTATTGGCCATACAGTCAAGTTGTATCTAGTTTTCTAGTTTTTTAATGTAAATTTTATTTTTATGTAATTCAGAAGGTGTTTTAAGGCAGTAGAACTACTGTTAGAAAATGCACTATATCCTGCTCATTTTTCATTTTTCATGAGTCTTTTGCTGGGAATACTCAGGTTTGCTTGTGAGATGTGAGTGGACAGTGATAATGTGGTTTGGCCTTCTTAGAGCTCTTCGGTGGCTTCATCTGCACAGCACGTGAAGTCCCCACAGGCTGCGAATGCTTCCGACGTAAGCGATGCAATCGTGAAGCTCTTCAGTGACTTTGATGTTAAGGAGACCTCCCATCATCTGGTGATTTCCCATCTAGATCTACACATCTGTGACGATGTCCATGCAAAAGAAAAAGGTAATCTCATACTACACTATTTTGGCTTTTCTACAAATTGACTATCAAACTACTGTTTGTTATATGTAATATATATTAAAAATATGAAACATTATTTGAATTTGTTTGACTTTAGTAGAGTAGCTAATACTTACACTTACTTAACTGTTGGCTATCAATGCTAATAGTAAAATTAGGTTTTAAAAAACTGAGATTGACCAATGCGGTGGCATATGCCTTTATTCCCAGTACTAGAGAGGCAGAGGCAAGCAGATCTCTGTGAATTTGAGGCCAGCCTGCTAGGATTACATAATGAGACCCTGTCTGAAAACAAGAATAACAACGGCTGAATAAATGTGTGGCATCCTTGCATAAAATAACTTAGATTTGTCTTCTGAAATTATCTACAGATGTTACCCTGTAGTCCATTCATGAGTATTTGCATGCTCTAAGCATTGTAGTTAACCCACCTATCTGTCATGAACCTGTGTTCTAGTAGTATTTTGCCTGCAATTATGTATGTCTGTGTACCAGTGTGTGCCTGGTCCCTCTGGAGGCCAAAAGAGGATGTTGGATCCCTTGGAACTAGAGTTACAGATGGGTATGAGCTGCTGTGTGGGTGCTGGGAATTGAACCTGGGTCCTCTGGAGGAGCAGTTAGTGCTTTTAACCACTGAGCCATCTCTCTAGCACTGAACCCATGTTCTTTGTACGCATAACGGCAACTGTGTGGCTCTCTAACACTGTCCCCTTCTTTCCCTTCCCAGCATTTCATAAGGAAGCAGATTCCTGTTTCAGTCTTCTCCCTATTTATCTTTGCTGAGTAGACTCGGGTAACAGGGCAGGTTCAGATGAGGACTGTGGAGTGATGCTAACATACTAGCTGTTAGAAACTGGGCTAACAAATTTATTGGCAGTGTATGCTTGCAATTGCTACTTGGACTCTGATTTTTGTAAACGTTTTTTAATGGTAAATTCAGTGTTCCTAATATCTCTCCCTTTCCCTTCTTCCCTCAATTCTTTTCCTCTTCCCAGACTCAAATAGACGTATTAGTGGAGGTGCTATGCAGCTCTCTTTCACACAGCTGACCATTGACTATTATCCTTATCATAAAGCAGGTGTGTATAATAATTCATTTAAAATATGCAAATCTTGCTTTTAAAGTGACATATCCAATTATTTTTAAAAATTTAATCATTCGTTTGTTTTAACTTACTAAGAAAACAGATCAAGATATTGTTATTATTTTTCTTCTGGCAGCATTTTACTAGGAGTATAAAAATGCCTTAGAAATGTATTTTGGTTCATGTAGATTATTAGAAACTGTAATTGTTAGAATTTGACCAATTTGGCCTAAGGTATCACTAAATGGTTGAAAACTTGAATAGCATGTTTGAGGCTATGGGTTTGATCCATAGCAACACACACACACACACACACACGTTGGGGACAGAGGGAGAAAGAAATAAATTAGCTAAATAAATAATAAATACATTTTATTTTGTTTTGAGACAGGATTTCTTTGTGTAGTCCTGGAACTAGCTCTGAAGAGCAGGATGGCCTTGAACTCAGAGATCTGCCTGTTCTGCCTCCTGAGTGCTGGGATTAAAGGCATAAATACAAGTTTTAAAACTTATAAAAATTTAGGATATAGCTACCTCTCTGACATGAACTCAGTGGCAGGCTCTTTGATCACCTCCCCGTGGGGGGTGCAGCCTTGCCAGGCCTCAGAGAAAGATGATGCAGCCAGTGCTGATTAGACCTGATAGGCTAGGGTCAGATAGAAGGGGAGGAGGACCTCCCCTATCAGGGGACTAGGGAAAGGGCATAGGGGGAGAAAAAGGAGGGAGGGTGGGATTGGGAGGACACGAGGGAGGGGGCAGCAGCAGGGATACAAAGTGAATAAATTGTAATAAATAAGTATATAAATAAAATTAAATAAAAATTTAGGATATAGGAACATGTATTTGTATTATTTGGTTATTTTTGGCAAATCAAGTCTTTAAGTCAATAGTTTGGAGTTTATCATTTAATGATATTGGAACATTTTTCTATTTTCTATATTTTTTAACTTATCAGTAAATAAGATTTAATAGGTTATTTAATCATCAAGTATTGATATGTCCTTTTCTCCCAAATATCAAAACAAAATAGGATGATTTATTTCCAAATTAAGTAATTTGACCATTGCACCATAGTCATAGAGCAGAATATCTTTCTTTGTTTTGAATTTTCCAGAAGACTTATTCAAAATCATTTATGTGATTCATTCTAGAGTATGAATAATATATACTAATTACTTTCAGTGATAATGGGTGCAGTTAAATCTCAGCATAAATAGTAGTGTTTATAGAATCAAACCAAGTGAAAGAGAGACTATTAAATCACATCTAATAATTTAATAAATACTAACATTCATATTTGTATGGGTTTATACAAACCATATGCTCAAAAATCCCATGTTTTGTTCATTAGCTAGACAGATATAGTGTAAACAAAGAAAATAAAATACATTTTAATTACCACATCTCAAACTCCTGATTTCTTATTTATAGCACCATAAGTTCAGTTTCGTATTTCAGGATTTATATGGTTTTGTTTGTGTTTTTATTTTTTTTTAAATTTACTTCTAATGTGTATATTCATGTTCCATCCTGATCTTGGCCCTCTGCCTCCTCTCCTTCCACCCCTCTCCCATCCCTCTCCTTCAGATTTTGTTCTCTTAACTTTTGTTTGTACCTGCACCTTTTCTAAGTTGTTGAAAAGAAACCTAATCTTGATTTTGTTTTGTCCTTCCAAAACGTCTGTCTATTAATGATTGATATCTGTACTGTGAGGTTTTGTTGTTTCCTTAAATGGTTTGGTAAACATCATCTTATTAGTTTTATGGTTTAGATTATAGTTAGTCACTTTATAAATCTTTGATGAGAGGTTTTTTTTATTTTTTTTTTTATTTTTCTGAGATTGTTTACAGTAGATGTTTGCAAGGTAATGGAGCCCAGTCCTTTAGCTGTGAATTGAGCATTGTTTCACCAAGTATGGGTTCTAGATAGAATGCTGTCTAGATTATTTACTTTGATACTCTTTTCCTATATCTTGCTCTTATTCTGTTAAAGAAGTAAGCTGATTTTTTTAATCTATGTGTGTATATATATATATATATATATATATATATACACATAAAGTATATATATGCACAAAATATGTAAACATATACATTTTAAATTATTTATGCATGTATGTATGCATGTATATCATCTGATATGGTGAGTCTTCCTGTAATCAAAACAAACCAAAACTGACTCTTGAGGTTTCATAAAAAGCATTGCTGTAATAATAAAAAAAAAATCACGGATGCAATGAAGTTCCTCTTGTTCAATTTACAGGAGATAGTTGTAATCACTGGATGTATTTTAGTGATGCAACCAAAACAAAAAATGGATGGGCTAACGAGTTGTTACATGAATTTGAATGCAATGTTGAAATGCTTAAACAGGCTATGAAGGATCATAATGCAGGTTCACCTCCTAAATCTCCAACACGTGCTTCTCCCCAGCACCTCCAAACAGGTATTTGACCTAATCACATCCCATAATATTCAGACAGGGGGAAGGAAGGAGGGGAGAATGAGCATGTATTTTTATAAACATTATTTCTAAGCAAATTTTAAACTCTAAAGATGTAGACAAACAGTTGTATAGACTAAAACACTTAAAAATGGTTTTATTTTTAATAATGTGTATGTGTGTATGTTTATGTATGGGTTTTATGCACCTGAGTGCAAGGTCTGTCAAGTCGGAAGAGGGCATGGGATCCTCTGGAATTGAAGTTACAGGCAGTTGTGAGCTGCATAACATGGGTGCTTGGAACCAAACTTGGGTCCTCTGCAAGAGAACCATGAGGTTTTTACTGCTGAGTCCACTCTCTGCTCCCCAACACTTTCAAGATTAGCATAACCAATAATAGTAATAGCTATATAGAATATTTAGATTTTTAAAAATATTTTTATTTATTTTTATGTATGTGAATGCTCTGTTTTCACCGCATGCCAGAAGAGGACGCCATATTTCAGTATAGATGGTTGTGAGCTACCATGTAGTTGCTGGGAATTGAACTCAGGTCCTCTGGAAGAGCAGTCAGTGCTCTTAACCGCTGAGCCATCTTTCCAGCCTGAATATTTAGATTCTTAAGTGGCTTGTTAATTTTTTACTTTTAACATTCTGAGAGTGGCTTAAAATATCATTAAAAATATGATTCTTGTTTTAAAAAAGAATCATTATAAAAGCCTGCAGTTATATTGCCATGTTTTTAGTAGCTTTTTCTACAGCAGAAGAGTAGCTATGCAAAGTAATTTCATAACAAGTTGAAAGGAATTTTTGTTTCTCACAGAGAAAGAGCCCACTCTGAAAGGGACTCCTAAAACACCTTCAGTATTATTTCAACCATCGAAAGCTAAGCTAATGTCTAGTTCTGTTGTTGTTAGACTCGCAGATTTCAATGTATACCAGGTATGTATTAAATCTTTTCATTATACAAGCAACTCAGTTAATTAGTGCCAGCATTTTTCTGTAACGGTCTAGACTATGAGATACAAATTATGCGGGATAAAAAAGCAGTTCAATGATTTTTAATTATGTGGTTATCTTGCATTAAGTTCTAGTCAAGGGATTAGTACTGCAGGTTGTCACTGTCCAGACTTCCTACACCAGTTACAAGTTTTGCGGTTGCCTAAATTACGCCCAGGTTCAGTGCTGTACTCAGGCCTTGCTACTCTCACTGAAACCTGTCAGGTTCACTTTGATTATAAAGGAAAAGGATTTCTGCCATAGGAATAGTGCATAGGGCACAGCCTGGAGGCCTTCTAGATGCTCAGGCTGTCCACACAGCTCAGTGATAGAGTGCTTCCTTCCATTCAGAAGGCCCAGCACCTCCCCAGCACCGCAGTGCTGTGTGTCCTGTATGCAGGGACTATGCCTCTGTGGTTGAATTCATCTCAGAATAGACTGATGGTGGGTGACCCAACGTTTTCCCTGACCTCTAACTACTAATAGGACTATCAGGTGTGACCAGCCCAACTCACAGTCCTCTGGTTTGCATAAATCTATCAGTTGCCATTATGAATAGGAAGTTATAGTTTCTGGTTATCTCTTGGGAGCAGGAGCAAAGCTCGGAGCACTTCTTGGAGACTGTATTTCATACAACACAGTAGTCTGTGTGCAAGACCTTGAATGTCTTTTTTGCTGTACTCAAACCTCTCTGGGTTCACTGTGCTGTGAATTTACTTTTCTGTGAAGAACTCTGCCTCACGTGTAGTGTTTTACTCAAGCTGTCATCCTTCTACTCAGCCTAATATCACAATCTTCAAAGCAACAAATTACATTTGACCTATTTTTAACAATAAAAACATTTGCCAGGCATAATGGCACACACCTGTATTCCCAGTACTTGGGGAGGAAGAGGTAGGTGGATTGCTGGATTGCTGTGAGTTTGAGGCCAGCCTCTAAAAAGAGAGTCTAGAACAGCCAAGGCTATACAGAGAAACCCTGTCTCGAGAAAACAAAACATTTAGATTCATATAATCTTTTATAAATTGTTCTTGTTTATTATGGTAAGTCTTGTTATAACTAAAAGCCCTGATTATTTTCTCATTGTTTGAGCATACTATTCATCTATTTATTTATTCATTTATTTATTTATTTATTTATTTATTTATTTATTTATTTATTTATTTTCGAGATGGGGTTTCTCTGTGTAATAGCTCTGGCTGGCGTCGACTCAATTTGTAGACCAAGTTGGCCCCAAACTCACAGAGATCTGCCTGCCCTTGCATCCCAAGTGTTGGGATTAAAGGCATGCTTCACCACACCTGGCTGACTGAACTGATATACTGTATTTTACATGAGTTATTTCTGTAAAACTGGCACAATTTTCCAATTTAATTATTTTAAATTTATAATTCATTGGTATTAAATACATTCATAGTGTGTGGCTGATGCCACCATCTATCTGCAGAGTTTTTCTCTGTATCACAAACTCTAAAACTCTTTCGTAATAATAGAGAATCTATGACATATTATAAAGGACAAACTGAAGAGCCATTTTGGCCTTGATTCGAGTCAGTGTCCTGAGTCTGCCACTTATTTATCTATATTAACTCATAATATGCTGCCCTGTTTCTGCGTTTCCCCTTGGGTTATCTAGGTACCAGTGTGCTAGGCTGGACGGGAGGGAATGAAGCTTAGCCTGGTGTGGGTGGGTTAGGTAGTATCTAGGTCTGTGTGAGTATGGGAGAAACAGCCTTCTCTGGAGACAGTTTTCAGTGAAACAGCTCTTTTTATTGGGGGAAAACAAGGTCTGTATAAACGTTGGGGAGTGGGTAGGTATTCAGGGTGAGTGTATATCATTGGCTGCGGCCTGAGGTGGTAGGAATGCTTCATTTGTCTGAATAGGAATTCCAAGTGCTTGCAGGGCATGGGGTTACAGGGAGAGGGGAAGTTTAACCTGAAACCTGGCCACCAGGCTACATGACCATCTCAAGAGTGGCACAGGTGGGGTCGTAAGGCTTATGTGCGCTGGGGCATGCAGGCCCAGAGCAGGGAAGAAGCAGTGCTACCCCTGCCCATCTCAGGGCAACATTTCCAGGGTTTGGACACATCTCGACCTGGCTGGCTCTCCCTGGTCGTATGGCTTTCCTAGCCCCACCATAATATACAGTTACTACGTTTTTTTTTCTTCCTGTCATTTTAAAGACTCAAAATAGTTAAGTTTACCAAAGATGGTGCACAAAGTTGAGTTTATAACTGATAAAAATCTGAGTTGTTTATAGAGTTTTCTGAATGGTTTGTGAATATTCCATTTTAGAAATTATTTTGAACATTTATTTATATATTTAGTGTGCCACTGACAGCCACACCACTCCACACAACACAGCACATATGTAGAGGTCAGAGGACAACTCTGTAAGTGTCGTTTAATTTCTATAGGAGTCAGTTCTGTTTACCATGTGGCTTTCAGGTACAGAACTCAGGCCATCAGGCATGGCAGCAAGTACCTTTACCCACAGAGCCTTCCTGCTGTCCTGGAAGTGATTTTAAAAGCTTGAAAGTGATGTATATGTAGGTTGCAGAAATTTTTTGGAAATGTCCTTTTGGTATAATATAAGCAAACTTGTTTTCTCAGGTCTCTACAGCAGAACAATGTCGTTCTTCTCCTAAAAGTATGATTTCCTGCAACAAAAAATCCCTGTATCTTCCACAAGAAATGTCTGCTATCTATATAGAGTTCACGGAATATTACTATCCAGATGGGAAGGATTTTCCAAGTAAGAGTGTTTACTTTGTTATTGCTCATTCATTGCTGGGTTTTTTTGGATGAGTGTTTTAGGTTTTAATAATTTATGCACAAAATTTTACTTTAACCACTGTGTTTAAGACATATTAAATTTTAAGACATATTAAATTTAAGACAAATTAAATTTTTAATTTTTAAAGATTTATTATTTAAACAGCATTCTGCATGCATATGTGCCTGTATGGCAGAAGAGGGTACCAGATCTCACTATAGATGGCTGTGAGCCACTGTGTGGTTGCTGGGAATTGTACTCAGGACCTTTAGGAAGAATAGCCAATGCTCTTAACCACTGAGCCATCTTTCCAGCCCAGGACATACTTTTTATATGTACACATTTATACCTCACATTTCTACACATTGTTAATAGTTGTTTATATGTCCTTTTTTCTCTGTACTGTGGCATATTTGATGGCAAGAATATTTGGCATTTGTTGATTGATTTTATCTTTGAAGTTTGTGCTTTTATTTTGCATTTTTGTGCTTACTAGAGATTTGTAAAACGAAGTATGAACGAACGTTATTGTAGAAAAATATTCTTTTTTTTGGGGAAAATTCCATTGTATAAAATTCCATTTTATTAGAAAAGGAATAATTTTTTTTTTTTTTTTTTAGTTATAAAAGTATTTTTTCTTGGCTCTTATAAGCTATTTTGGCTTCCTGAAGTTAAAATGATTATATGTTTGTTTATTTGAATATTAAAATTATATGCCTTTGTTTCATTTTATCTGAGTTTTCAAATTAAAGGCTTCCTTTATATTGTGATCTTCATGCATGCATGTCTGTGTGTACAGGTATACAGATGTTTGTGTGTGTGTAGCTCAGAGACAAGTGTCAGGATCTACTTTGAGTTTTTTGTTTGTTTGGTTTTTGTTTTGACCTTTTTAGACAGGGTTTTACTTGTAGCCCTGGCTGGTCTGGTACTCTTACTTTGCACACCATCTAGCCTGGCACTTTCTGTGTAGACCAAGCTGGCTTTGACCTCAGAGATCTACCTACCTCTTATCTCCTGAGTGCTGGGACTAAAGGCTTGTGCCACCATGTTTGACCCATCTTCTTTTCAGAGACAGGGTGTCTCATTGGTCTGGAGCTTGCCAAGTTATGTTAGGCAGGCTGGATGGCTGACCAATCCCAGGGGATCCTGTCTTTCTTTGCCTCTTCACCCGGGGGTTACAGCTGGGTGGATGTGGCTTTTGTTACATGGGTTCTGAGAACTGAAGTCCTCATGCTTGCAAGCTTTTGCCTGCTTCTTTAATGCTGATGTATTTAAAGTGATTACCTTATGTGTATGAGTGTCTGCATGTAAGTCTGTGCACCACCTGCATGCAATGTTTGAGGAAGCCAGAAGGGGGTGTCAGAGCCCCTGGAACTGAAGTTACAGGTGGTGGTAAGCTGCCACCTGGGGACTGGGAATCAAACCTGGGTCCTCTGGAGGAGCAGCTGAGCCACCTCCCCATTCCACTGTTGACTTATTGGTGTAGGTTTTCAGTTTCAACATGAGCTTTTGATGCTCCTGAAACCATTTTAGTTTAGTTTGTTTTTTTTTAATAAAATAAGGAATTTCAGAAATCACTTTAGAGAAAGATCCAAATATTTTATCATACAATTCCTTATTTGCACCAAATTGATGACATCTAGTCCTTTGTTTTCTTGCTTTCCGACATTCTTTGTGAACGTGCATTTATCAGTTGTTTCTCTCAACTACTCCTCTGGCCAAGACGATAGGTGAAAGTAGGTGAGCCATTTCTCAGTGTCTTCTAGGTAATGAAATGGCACAACTGAAACCCAGGCATGGTCTGTCCATTGCTTCCTTCCCATACTGTTCCCCAGAACATTCATGGCAGCCTCCTGTTAGTCATTGTCTAATCTTGTTGGGATCCCTCAATGGTTGTTGTATGTAACTAAAACGTATCATTCTGCAAAGAATTTTTCTTTGGACTTAAGACTAGTTTCCGGGTTGCATAACTCCTTTAAAAAGAAAAAAAAAAAAAGTGAGACAGTGTCTTACTGTGCAGCTCTGGCTGGTTGGCCTGCTGTACTGACCAGGTTGGCCTCCGGCCTGCCCTGTCAGTGCTGGGATGAAGGCGCACACCACTGTGCATCCATCAGCCATGTTGGAAAAGGCCCCACTCACATGGACAGCCTTTGCCTTCATTTCCTCTTTACGAGCTCTCTCCTCAGATAGCCACAGTCCGAGGCGCTGAATTTAAAACTGACAGAAGCACTTCGGAGGCATGGGGTAGTGTCCAGTTTGGCGCATAGAAACACACATAGTAGTCTTGATCTTTTTTAACATGTGCTTCTTTTCCATATTTGATTTGTAGTCTGCCCTTTCTCTAACACTCTGAGCCCAGTAAAGGTCTGTGCTCGCTAATTTTAGATGTTTTTAGGGCCGAGGTATAACTCAGAATGCTTGCCCCGCATATGTGATACCTGGTTTCAGTCCTCGGCACCCCAAACCTGTGACAAACAGAAGGGCCCACCAGAAAAACAAGTAGTAGATCAGAATCTCTGAGTTCCATGGTCATCTGGAGACCCTGTTGGAAACGCCACACGGAGCCCTGTGCTGTGCAGGGTGGACGCTACATCTGCTCTCAAGTCTTTTCTCACCAGAAAGTCCCTTTACTGTAGTGTGAAGCATTCACCTCTGTACTCTACTTCCTCTTAATTCAAAGGCAAACACCTTGGCATCACAACTGGTCTCTCTGAAGGGCTTGAATCACTTCTTTCATTTCATATCTATCTCATGTGTAAAAATTGAAGTGGAATTGGGCCATACTTTATTTCCTCTATGTTCTTGTCCTTAGCATAATTTGTAAAGTGTAGACTTTCAGTGAATCTTTTTTGCTTTTGTAAATTGAATGAAGAGGTGGATGCTGGCACCCAAAATCAAATGGACATCGTTAGTGTTCTTTTCCTGGTTTTCTGCATGTTGGGATTTTGTTTTCTTAATTTGATCTGAATTTTTTTTAATAACACTTTTAAGACTGACTCTGATCTCAGAATCACACATCCATATACCTATTTTCCTGTTTCACTTTTTTTTCACCCAAGGCAGCGTTTCTCTATGTAACATCCTTGGCTGTTCTGGAACTTTGTAGACCAGGCTGGTCTCAAACTCACTGAGATCCACCTGCCTCTGCCTCCTCAGTGCTGGGACTAAAGGCATGCGCCACCATGTCCAGCTTACTTTTTTTTTTTCTTTTTAACACAGGGTTTCTCTATGTATTCCTGGCTGTCCTGGAACTTGCTGTCTGGATTAGGCTGACCTTTGAACTCACAGAGACCCTGCTGCCTCTACCTAAAGTGCAAGAATTAAAGGCATGTGCTACTACGCTGGCCTCTTCACTTAAAACTTTTTACTTTTAATATAGACATCAAAATGGTCTTCAACCTATTTTTAATGCTTCTTGTGGTCAGCACCCACAATACTTGAAAACCTAGCATAGCCTATGACAACATTCACATGCCTGCTGCTTTAAACAGTTTCACTGTAGTTCTCCAGGATGGAGAGAGCACACCATTTCTGCCTCTCCTTCTTAAGACTGTACTTTTCAAAGACATATAGAATTTTTTGCCACCTGCCATGCTATGCCTTGTTTTCATTTTGTGAATCTGAATTCGATTTCACATACTTTTGGTTAGTTTTTAAATTACAGTGTCTTAACAACAGAAGGAAGCATTGTGCTGTGTTTTCCCTCCTACCACCTGGAAACGGAACGGGGGGATGCATACTTACTCTATCCTTAAAAATGTCCTAGTCGTGCTAGGATTCTTGTACTTAATTATCAAGACATTTATGCATATGAGGTTGCTGACTTTAGGCAGGTTTAGGTCGTTAAGATGAATAGCACGCTTGTTCTGTTGGCTGTGGAAGCTTATGTTTCCTTTGGACATCACTAAGTTGTCTTAGCTCTGGAATATAACTTTAATGCTATATGAGTTTTGCTAACAGTGATGTGCCCTGGGTATTGACCATCCCACTAGAATGGATTGTTCCATTCATACTAAATTTTATCACAGAACGGATTGATGGGAGAGGTTGATATATAGGTCCACATTTTATTTCCAGGCTATATATTCTATTCTTATGGTTTATCCTTGGACCAATAATCATGCCTATCTACCTTATGTCATGTTTTCTTCATCTTCAAGGCCCCAGTGAACCATCTCACTGTCTACTCCTTCTGCCTATAAGTTCTTCCAGCTACAGGAGTGTTAGCTCCTGACATGGATGACTCAGGGGCAGAATCAGAAGTTTCAGCCTACTGCATAGATCTTAGGCCTTGGGAGCACAGAACCATCCATTGTGGTTCTGAGAGGGATGGGGAGAAGATCTCATCACTAGAACTAGAATAAAGGGGCTTTTTCTTTTAAACAGTAAAACCCATATGTATTCAATTAAAAACAAGAGTTGGGGGCTGGAGAGATGGGTCAGAGCTTAAGAGCACTAGCTGTTCTTTGAAAGGTCCTGAGTTCAATTCCCAGCAACCACATGGTGGCTCACAACCATCTATAATGAGATCTGGTGCCCTCTCCTGACCTACAGGCACACATGCAGGCAGAACACTATATAAATAATAAATAAATAAATCTTTAAAAATCATGGTTGGTTCTCCAGCAGGTAGTATCAATACATTGGAAGAATAGTCATAATTATGAGAAACTGTGGGGGGCTGCACTTGGTATATCAAGTAATAGTGGAAAATTGGCTTCTGTTCTCAGGATTCTTAGTCTTGTAGAATAAAAGATCTTATTAAGCTGTTCTGAAGCTGTAGCTTTTACAATTAATATACTTGTAGTTTCAGAAGATAAATTACTCTGTAATTATCAGCATTAGTTTAGTGGGAGGAAACTGAGTGTGTAGTAATGGGCTATTTGAGACACTTCAGTCACTGTTTTACCTGCAGCTTGGTCCTAGGTCTTTATTCAAGACGAGAGTGGGCTGTGTGTGTTCTTCCTTTTGGGCTTTCCGCCTAGCACACCACTTTCCTAGGAGACCGGTTATTAGAGGATGCAGGGTGCAATGCACATAGTGAGAGCCTTACAAACGCCATGTTTCAAGAAGGCGATGTAGAAGTTTGCTTCTTTGTGAATCTAATAGTACTTCCTGTATATACATTTAATTTACATTAAACTGTTTTTTTCCAGTTAAGTGAATAGAAAAATATTTTATGTCTATATTTGCTATATGATATTTATTAAGAAAGAATGTAATTTATTAAGAATAACTTTTGTATGGAAACCATAACTGTCTGTTCATTAATGGTGCTTAATATTTTTTCCTCCACAGTTCCAGCTCCTAATCTATATAGCCAGCTGAATGCACTACAGTTTACTGTAGATGAAAGAAGCATTCTATGGTTAAACCAGTTTCTACTAGATTTAAAACAGAGTCTTAATCAGTTCATGGCTGTGTACAAGTTGAATGACAATTCAAAATCCGATGAACATGTTGATATTCGAGTTGATGGCTTAATGCTAAAGGTATTGTATAACAAGTGACTGTGTATGTATGTGTGAAAGAGACAGAAAGAGAGTAAGAGATTGAGAGACAGAGACAGAGTGAGAGATTTAGAGAGAGAGACAGACAGACAGACAGACAGACTGACTCACTCACTCACCTGCCTCCTATGCCTCACAAGTTCTGGGTTTATGTAGAGGCATGTATACCACACACAGCTGAGAGCAAAGCCATTTTTATAGAAGTAAAACTGACTGAGAGTGTTATAATTTAAGGATATAACATGGTGTTTAGGTGTAAATAAGCTTAATTATGATCTTAATTTTTATGTTGAAATTAAAGATTGAATTTTGATTCTCAGTTATAGGAAATCTAAGAGATTGCATGTCCCCCCTTTGTGTATTTATGATTTTAATTTTTTATAACCTATAGTCATTAGACAGTAAGATACAACAGCAAAATGTAAATCTTTAGTGGGATGGCTCAGCAGCACAGTTTGGAAGGAAAACTAACTCGTGAACGTTGTCCTCTGACTTCCACACACTCTCTGTGACAGCAAATAAATAAATGTATGTTACAACAAAGGCTTTAAAAAACCTTTAGTCCGTTTTGTTCCCGCTATAGGATTTTTAATTTTTTTTTGTTCTAGAAAAGAATAAGTATACAACAAAGTTTTTAAGTTGTGTAAGTTGCATTTGTTCATATTATTCCATTACTAGTATCCATAGTTAACAAAAAAGTTGATTTTTATTGTAGGCAAGTAGTTACTAACGTGATCCATGTACATTTTTAAGTTTTTAAAGGGAAAAGACTAAAAGACAAAAGTTTAGTAAATAGACATGGACATAACTGAAAATTTATTGCAGGGTCAGGATATAACATGGAGTTTAGATAAATTATGTTATGGTATTATCAATTATGTATTATAACCTCTTTTAAAAACGATTGTGCAAGCCAGGCACGGTGGCTAGCCCACCTATAATCCCAGCACTCAGGGGGCAGAGGCAGCTGGATCTCTGTGAGTTCAAGGCCAGCCTGGTCTACAAAGTAAGTCCATGACAGCCAAGAAACCCTGTTTCGAAAAAAACAAAACAAACAGACAGACAAGCAGCAACAAAAAACATGCGCAAATAATGTTCCACATTTTCTGGCATAAGCAAAAATCTCAACTTAGCATAAAGGAGCATATTCTTTAGCAGTGTTTAACACAGAACTAAATAATGATGAGTATGAGTTTGGGCATGAGCAGTCCCCGGAAGCCACCCTGGGCTCTTTATAGGAACACTCAAAGACCAGATGCAGTTCACTGCTGAGAATTACTTCAGTAAGTCTGACCTATCATCTTAGTTTTCATTTTCTTAACAAATCCCCCTGTCTGTTTCTCCTGAGTGCCGGAATTACAGCCCAGAAAACTTAGTCTAGTAACATTTGTGTAGTCATTGGCAATCATTCAGTCATCTCCTAAAACATCGAATTTAAAAATATCTTAACAAAAATATTGAATATTGTTTTTTCAGATGTAGTTTTTTTTCCTGTGTACTCAAACATTTAGAAAGTTTTGAAAAAGCCACCTATTTATTAATCTGTTTATTCACCAGTGTACTGTGGTGCTGGTGTCATATCTAAGTCCTTGTATATTAGAGCATGCATTTTTATCAGAGAGCTACCTCCTCCACACCCATATTTTTATTTTCTGATTATTGTATGATTCAAAAATACATAATCATGAGCATTGCTAATACACGTGATGTCTTGCAAGAAGAATGTCCTCTTCAGTGGTTAATTCGCTAACCATCTTTTACTAAATTTATTAGAAGACTTGAGAGAGGGAGAAGTTTATATTTGGAGAGGAAAGATGTATTTTGGGGGAAAGTATCCATAAAAGTAACTCCAAGTCTTTCTTGTGTTTTATTTAGATGTAGGGATTTGTAAATTGAACTGAGTTATTTTCCCTTCCAGTTTGTCATTCCTTCAGAAATGAAACCAGGCTGCCATCAAGATCAGCCACATACAGTGTCTATTCAGAGCTCCGAAATGATTGCCACCAATACCAGGCACTGTCCAAACTGCCGACATTCTGACCTAGAAGCCTTGTTTCAAGACTTTAAAGATTGTGACTTTTTTAGCAAAACTTATACTAGATTCCCCAAATCTTGTGACAGTTTTAATCTTCTCCATCCGATTTTCCAGAGACATGCCCATGAGCAGGATACCAAAATGCATGAAGTTTATAAAGGGAAAATTATTCCCAAATTGAATAAAAACACACTAAAAACTTCTGCTGCTACTGATGTGTGGGCAGTGTACTTTTCCCAGTTTTGGATAGACTACGAGGGGATGAAAAGTGGGAAGGGACGACCAATAAGCTTTGTAGACTCTTTCCCTCTGTCTATCTGGATTTGCCAGCCAACAAGATACGCAGAGTTACAGAAACAGCTCCAGGCTTGTGACCAAGGGTCTCTTAATACCTCACAAAGTGAGTCCAGTGATCTAGCTGGCCGGATGAAGCGGAAGAGACTGCTGAAGGAGTATTACAGTACGGAGTCTGAGCCTTTGACAAATGGTGATCAGAGATCTGCACCGGAAACATTTTTAAAGTTTTCCTCTTCGTCTTCAGATGCGGACGTTCACGTCCTGGTCCGTGTTCATAAACATGTCAGTATGCAGATCAATCACTACCAATATCTGCTGCTGCTTTTCATACACGAGTCACTCGTTCTGCTTTCAGATACCTTACGGAAGGACGTAGAAGCCGTGACCGGCAGCCCTGCTGCCCAGACTTCCATTTGTGTTGGAATTTTACTGCGGAGTGCGGAGCTCGCCCTCCTGCTGCATCCAGTGGACCACGCCAGTCTGCGCTCTCCTGCTTCCGAGAGCGCGAGCCCGCTGCTTCCTGACTATCTGCCCTCAGAAGATGGAGGGTTTTTGTCTTCAAAGCGAAAGCAAGGTGGTGGCATACATCGAATTAGAAATGCTGCTCTCAATCACATGTCAGACAACAGGTCGATGAGTGTTGACCTTAGCCATGTCCCTTTAAAGGATCCTGTGCTTTTTAAATCAGCCAGCGACACAAATCTGCAAAAAGGCACCTCTTTTCTAGACTATTTATCAGATAAACATTTAGGGAAAATAAGTGAAGATGAAAGTAGTGGACTTGTTTACAGGAGTGGCCCAGGAGAAACGACACCAGAAATAAGTCACAGGAAAGGTTTGTCTTTCACAGACTCAGATAGTTTTTTGAACTGCGGAGATGACTCGAATATGCTGTCACTGGTCAGCCACGGCAACCAGAGCACACCTTCAAATACCGGAACTGGTAAGGGAAATGAAGCCATACGGTCCATCTTCAAAGCTGAAGACTTCCTTCCGGAAGTGGCTTCCCTTTCTGAGAACCCAGACAGTAGTAAAGAAGAGGCCCCCACAGCCAGAGCACTTAAATCCCAGCCCCCTCTCAGGTAATGGTGCTGTTGGAATAGAAGTGGTTTCAGATCTGTTGTTATTTCTTTGGCTTGTTTGTTTGTTTGTTTGTTTGGGACTAGAAAAACCTCACAACAAAATGTGGCATTGCTAGGATTGAGAGATTCTGATTTCAGAGTCTGAGAAAGCCTTTGCCTTGTACCTTTCAGTATACTTTGTAGACTTTGTAGCTTCTGGATGATTAGAGATCTACTAGCTTTACGGCCAGTTGTCTTCCTGTGTCTGCCCGGCTAGGACTCCAGTGTGCTCCTTTTGCCCTTGCCTCTCCAGGGCTGAGATAACAGCACTGCCCTCTCCTCACAGCCAGTAAGGATGTTAAGATGAAAGTCTTTTCTATACCTGGGGTAATTTTCTATTAATTTTTTTGCTGACAGTGTTAAACCTAAGGAACGTTGCCCACCCACCCCAGCTCCACTCTCTGTTTCTTATAAGAACATGAAAAGGAGCGCCTCACAGATCTCCCTGGATACCATTTCACTGGACAGTATGGTATTGGAAGAGCAGTTGGAGAGCTACGGAAGCGATAGCCATGTGTTGTTGGGAAGAGGTAAAGCAGCACACTGCGGGAGTTCCCACAGGGATGAACATTCTTTCAGGAAGTGCTACTGAAGGACTGAGAGCGGCACCTAACCGTTGTTCTGTATACCCAGCCCTGCACTCCTAGATGGAGCTTCCTGGTGGCTGTTCTGTTGCTGATGAGTCTCCTCACATCTTGTTCATTTGCATTTTTTTTTTTTTTTTACTCCATAAAACAAATTGCTCTCCCCCAAATACAAATTTGATCATGTTACTTTCTAATTTGTACTTAGGAACTTCTCATTGATTGTGAAATTTAGAATTCTTAATCCTTTTTGAAAATGTTCTTTGTGATTTGACCTCAGTTTAGTTTTCCTAAATGTCATTTTCTTTAGTTCTTTTAAAAAAATTTCATTTATCTGTCTATTGGAGTCTGTGGGGCAGGGTAGCACATGTTTTCACGGCGTGAATATAGAGGTCAGAGGACAACTTGGCAGGAGTTGTTTCTCTCTTCCACCGTGTGGATTCCAGGGGTCAGACTCATGTTGCCGGGCTGCGTGGCCAGTGCTTTTACTACCGAGCCATCCTGCTGGCCCCTCTCTCATTCTCCTGACCATGACAAATGTTTTCCACCTTAGCGTCTTACCTCTCTGTCCGAAAAGCTCTTTCACTTTTTGTACAGGTTACCAAAAATTCTCATGGAAATCTTACCCTGGACTGGGAGGAAGACTCTGGAATGTTCTGTGGGCCTCATCCACCACAGTTGGCACCACATGCCCCTCCTCTGGTGCCACATGTGGTGGAGAACTTGCTGCCTGTTCCACACTGCTGAGCACCAGGGTAGAAGCCAGTTGGCTACTTGGTTCTGAGCACAGTGCTGAGCTGGGCTTAAAATTTTTGTGTATTAGACTTCTGTCATCACAATTCTGTAATAGTTCTTTTACGGTATTTTAAAGTATTAACCTGTGAGAGACACAAAACATAATTATTTTATTCCTTTCCATATAGATAGATAGGTATTTATCTTGAGGTATTTCAAAGCACAACACACTGAAACATCTAGGTAGCTAGAAAATAATGGAGAATAATCACAGTGTATTGAATTCCTGTAAGAGGTGATTGGGAGTTGCTGTAAGATGGTGAAGAGAAATGGGGGCTCACACTGGTTAGTATGTGGAGCTGGGGACACATGAAGCTGACAGGACTTTCCATGGCAGCAGTGCTGCCGCAGCAGTAGGAGGTCTGTTTCCTCATTGTTGTTGTCATTGCTGTTTTACTGTATTTAAAGCTTTGGCATCTGTCCTAGTCAGGGTTTCTATTGCTGCAACAAGTCAGCATGACCAAAAAGGTTGCAGGGGAAGGGGTTTATTGGGCTTACACTGCTACATTGTAGTCCATCACTCAAGGAAGCCAGGACAGGAACTCAGACAGGGCAGGGATATGGAGGCAGGAGCTGGTGCAGAGGCTGGAGTGATGCTGCTTCCTGACTTGCTCATCAAGACCTGCTCAGCTTTCTTATAGACCCCCCAACCACCAGCCCAGGACTAGTGCACCACAATGGGTTGGGTCCTCCCCATTAAGAGAATGCTCTACAGGTTGGCCCACAGGACAGTCTTATGGAGGCATTTTTCTCAGTTGAAGTTTCCTCCTCTCAGATGACTATAGTATGTGTCAAGTTGACATAAATCTAGTCAGCACAGTATCTCTGGTCTTCTATTGTGGGAAATCGTTTATTTTCTAAGAGACTGTAATTTGACTCTGTTGCTTAGTGCTATTTAAACAAGGCTTTGCTTGAAAGAATTCAAGGGTCTAGTCCATTTTTTTTTATAAATATAAATGTAGTTGGACCATATGTAAACAGATTTTAATTCATTGATTTTCTTTTGTATCCTTTCAGCAATTAAAAGGAACTCAAATACAAGTTGCCAGAGCCCAGCAGAGAGTGTGAACACCAGTGCAAATATGCAGAACTATGGGGAAGCCTCTCCAGATGCCGTCAGCACTAACTCAGAGGGCGCTCAGGAGAGCCTCGATGACCTGGTAATCATCCCAGAGTGCTGTGGGAAGCGATGCCAGCTGTCCTTTGCCTCTGTGCCTGCGTGTTCAGGACCTTTGTAAGATGGCTGCTCCCACGCTGGATAGATTACTCTGCGGCTTCTGCTCCTGACAGTTCTTTCTGCTTAATCAAATGGCTCTTCTCCTGCCTTACCTTTTAAATTGGCTTTGTTTGCATTGGGGATGGGAGGGGAGTAGGTCTGTTCTTCATCTTTTCCATCTTCTGTCCCATTTATATTTTGACCAATATTTTTGTTCCTTTTGAGGATAATTTTAAAAGCTTAGTGGCACAGATGGTAGCCAGTCCTTATAGTGAAGGTCCTTCTACAAAGAAAGTAGGATGATAGTTTTTTTTTTTTAACTTTTTATTGATTCTTAGCGAATTTCACACCATGCACCCCAATCCCACTCATCTACCCATTCCCTCATACCTGCCCTCTGCCCTGGCACTTTTTCCTTAAAAGAAAAAAAATCTCATTGTGGAAGCTGTAGTGTGTCGCAGTGTATCCCACAGTGTACCCTTTTGTCCACACTTCTTTGCTTGAAAATGATCATTGCAGTGACTCACTGGTCTGGATCAAGGTTTCGGGCTTCTGCTACTCTTAATACTGGCGCCTCACTGGGATGCCTCTCGGATATCCTGTTGTTGCCCTGTGTCATGGACATCCTGCAGCTTTGGATCTGTAGGACCAGCCCCTTCATTCTCTCCAGCAGTTCATCGATGGGGTAGATGTTGGGGTGGGCCAAATCAAAGCCCTGGATCTGGGCCTGAGAGGTGTCTGAGCTGGTCAGCCCACCAGCTCTCCAGTGCTCACATCCTTGGGGTGAGTTCTCCAGCACTGCCTAGGCTAGATTCTAGTTTCTTTTAAACCTTTCTGACACAGTGAAATTTTATAAAAAAATTTAGACATATCTTACTTCTAGTGAACATCATTTATATGTGGAAATGTCATATTATCAGTCTTTGTAACCAAATACTTTCTCTTCACTGTTTAAAAACAAATGCAGCTGGAGTTTGTCTACAAAGATTGAACATCCTTTGTCTGAAATCTTGGGTCCCGAAGTACTTTTGGACATACTATTTTGTAGATTTATTTCATATAAATATGAGCTATCTTAGATATGGAACCAATTCTAAACCCAAAGATGATTATGTTTTGTAGATTCCTTATATATATAGCCTATAGGTAATTTTATACAGTCCCTTGATAGTCTTGTGAAAGAGCTTAATGTATGGATTTTTTTTTCTTTTCTTTTTAACTTGTGGCATTGCACTGGTACTTGAAAAGTAGCCAATCTCTTAATTTTGAGCTAGAGAGGCTCAAGCTATAAAATGTAATTATAAGCTCTGTAGGCCACAGGAAAGTTTGACTGATAAGTCAGAATTGTATTTGTAGATGTTGATACTTGTTTATTATTTCTTTAAAGTTGGAATTACATGGGATACTAACAGTATTTATATGTACAACTGTTGACAGATGTCAGTTGTGTTGTTTAAAATCACTGGTATTAATGGGGAAATTGACATCCGCGGAGATGATACAGAAGTCTGTCTTCAGGTGAACCAGGTGACACCAAGTCAGTTAGGCAACGTCAGTCTGCGGCATTACCTTAGTAATCGTCCAGTTGGTAAGGTTTCATTTTAAACTACTCTAACACAGAATACTTAAATGCGTTTTAAATTTATTTCGTGTTCTACCCATGGCTCATTAGTAGTTCTGTCTATGATTCAGCTCAAGAGAGACCATATTCAATAAGATGGCACAGTGATATTTCTTCTTTTGTTATGTGTATAGACTTCTATATGATACATAATGTATAGAAGTAAGTACAGTCTTGCATAATATCAGCATGTATGCTGTCACTTCCTTTCCTGGGAGGTAGAGGTAGAAAAAACTAAGCAGGGCTCTTGGGGGCTCACGGTGACTGAAGTGGCAATCATGGAGCCTGCATGAGCCTGAGCTAGGTCCTCTCCATATACGTTGTGGCCTGTGGCATAAATGCTGGGTTGTTTAGCTTGGGGCTTTTGTGGGACTCCCAACAGTGGGAGTGGGGGTATCTTACTCTTGCCTGCTCTTGAGATCGTTTTCCTGCCTTGATATGAGGATTTGTGCCTAGTCTTACTGCAGCTTCTTAGGCCATGCTTGGGAAGCCTGCTCTTTTCTGAAGGGAAATGGAGGACTAGTGGAGAGGTGGGGGTCAGAACTGAGAGCAGGGGAGGGAGGGGAAGCTGCAGTCAAGATGTATTGTGTGAGAGAAGAATAAATAAAAATAAAAAATTTAAAAAAGGCTCCAGGTCTTTTTTAATTGTTGTAACCAAAATACTTCCTCTTGGCTAATTGGAAAGGAAAGTGCCTGGAGTTTTTCTTTACTTTCTCTTTCCTTCTTACTCTGTTCCCCACATCACTTGCTGTGCCATGTACTTGTATTCTTTTGTTTATTTTGATGCTAGTTGGCATAAAAGGAAAATATTCCATTCATTCCTATTCACGGCTAATTGATCTTAGTCTTTCCGTTACTAGTACCTTTTTACATTGGATATTGTATAAAACTTTTATTGAAGTTTAAAATTAGTTTCTATACATTGTTGTTTATCTCAGTAAACCAACTCAAGTTCTTTCTTGGAACAAGGTCAGCTCATAAATAAGTGTAATTATATTTGAATTTCATATCACTTACTAATTTCAGTGTTCTTTGTGAATGTTTCAGTTGCATCTCATAGGTATACTTTCCCATTGTTTAAGACCCTAAGTGAGATTTGTTTCACCGCAGTTTCCTGGGTTCTTACAGAGACATTGCTGGATACTAACATGATGTTGAATCTGAAGTGTATATTCTATCAGAGTTTATCATGAATTTTCCCTATTATGAAAAAGTAGAAAACATAGAAAAGTTGCCAGTAGTATATTTGAAAATGCCTGGGAAAAGTGAAGTTATGGTGCTTATGATATATCTTATTTATCTTGCAGAAACATTTAAATTAAGAGAAAATACTGAAGCTGTTTCATAGATTTCTTTAGTATACAGTGCCTTTAATATTTTTACTATAATCTTAATTACATAAAATGTTCTTTTTAGTAGTGTTGCAAAGTTACAAGTTTTCATGTTCGTTTCTCAGGTTCTGACCAGAAAGCTGTAATTCATCCTAAGTCCTCTCCTGAGATTTCTCTGAGGTTTGAAAGTGGGCCCAGTGCTGTAGTACACTCTTTGCTTGCAGAAAAAAACGGATTCCTTCAGTGCCACATAGAGAACTTTAGTACTGAGTTTCTGACTTCTTCCCTTCTGAATATTCAACACTTTTTAGAAGATGAAACTGTTGCAACAGTAATGCCAATGAAGATACAAGTTTCTAATACAAAGATAAATTTGAAAGTATGTTAAGAGTTAAGTTGTTATTTTTGTAAATATTTGCATTACCTTTTCTGGACTTTGATTATTGTCTAAAATCATGCCTTCTGTAAATTATATCCTCTGTTAGAATTTATAGAAGGGAAATGAGTAAACTCTACAGTGAATGTTACAGAGATCCTTTTTAGAAAGAGAAAAATAGTACAAGCAATTTTTTTACTTACTAAAATTATATAGATAAACTTATAATGTCATGTTTATTCGAGTTGACTTTTATATTTCATTTATTTTTATAAGAACATGCCAATATTTTCTCTTCACTTGTAGGATGACAGTCCCCGGGGTAGCACCGTGTCCCTACAGCCAAGCCCAGTGTCTGTGCATATCGATCATCTTGTGGTGGAGAGGAATGATGACGGCTCTTTTCATATCAGAGGTACACTGAAGATGACGTCAGAGAGCACCTGACATACTGATAAGGAACCACTCACATGCTGGTTGTTTTGGTCACTCATTGTTTACTTTATGAAAATTTGCAGTGGTGATGATTGAGGGATGTTTTTGGCACATTCCACATTTTACACAATATTTATGTGTAAACCCTGGAAATAAGTCATCAGTAGTTAGCTTGATACCTGTTCTGCAAGTGTGCCTTGAATGAAAATAAGAAAGGCTTTTTGGTTTTATCTCCCTCCCTCCCGCTTTTTATTTCTCTCTCTCTAAATTCATGCCACAATGAACATGTGAAAGTCAGAGGGCTTTCCCCCAGGTATTGATTGGTTCTCACCTTCCATCTTGTTTAAGACAGTCTCTTTGCCCCTTAACACTTTGTACTTCTGGCTAGCTGGCCTACAAGCCAGGAATTCTCCTTTCTCTGCCTTGCACCTCCCCCTAGGAACACTTGGATATACAGTTGTTAACTTGTTAAGAAAAACGAAACTATGGAATATGCAGGTAAATGGATAGATCCACAAAGACAAACTTGGCATGTGTTCTTTTATCTGTGGATGTTAGCTTTTATGCTCTAGATAGTGTTTTATTTAGAATACCCACAGTGGTTAGGTAGTAAGGGACCAAAGGAAAGCAGGGTTTTTCCAAGGCTTCTTCCAAGAATATAAACAGTGGAAAACTAGAATGGGAGGATTAATAGACATGGGAGGGCAGGTTAGAGGAGGGAATATGGGAGTGGTGATAACTAACTTTAAAGGCCTTTTGAAAGCCATTTGGCCCACTACTAAAGACGCTTTCTAAAATATATACATATATACAAAGAATTTAAATACAGTCACCATATAATGAGGAAGACAGTACCCCAACTAGACATAATGCACTCATAGATAAAACCCCCAGAATGGGTTGCATCTTGAGTTGTTGGCTAGTGGGGTTCCGCTTTCCCCCTTAAACATTACAGTGTATTGTCAATATAGCATAAGCAACTTGGTTACTCTCCACATTTTGAAGGCTAGGTCTTTTGCTGAAGACACTGCATATTTGTGGCATAGACTATGGAGAATTGGAACTCGTGCTAAGTGGAAGCTTCCTTCTCCTAGCTAGCATCCATAGTGCTGGGCAGTGCTATGCACATTACCCAAGGAGAAAAGTGATCATCTATTACACCCAGCTACAGACCCTGTGAGCTACAATAATGACTTTCTTATAAGAACTGCCTATTGTACGAGTGGCATGAACATTGTGGCAGGAAGCAACCAATTTTCAATTGTATTTAAAGTCCATTCTATGGGCTGTTAAGGAGGTCAAGGACCTGAAACTAGACAGAACATGGGCCCTAGAGGAAAACCCACTTCAGTTCTAGGGGACTTACTGTCTTCTTCTGGCTTCCACAGGCACAGCATACACATGCACAGACACACATGCAGGCAAAACATTTATATGTGTGTGTGTGTTGTATATATTATATATATTTATATTATATATTACATGTATTCATAATATATATATTAAGAATAAAGCATCTTAAAAATGTAAATAGATTTGAAGCAAAGCCAAATAATTAGTTTTCCTGTTCTCTTTTGATAATATTTTGCTTTGGATTTCCTTGGAATCTGTCATCAAGATCAAAGACATACCTTTATTCTTTCCTTTAAAAGTTTTTTAGATTTAGTTCTTTTGTTTGTTAGGTTTTTGTTTGTTTGTTTGTTTTTTGTTTTGTTTTGTTTTGTTTGTTTTGAGACAGGGTTTCTCTGTGTAGCTCTGGCTGACCTAGGCTTACTTTGTAGATCATGCTGGCTTTGAACTCACACAGTGATTTGTCTGCCTCTGCCTGCCAAGAGCTGGGATTAAAGGATTCTGTCACCACATCAGGCTTTAGATTTAGTTTTTTGTTTGTTTGTTTTGTTTTGTTTGTTTTGAGACAGGGTTTCTCTGTGTAGCCTTGGCTGTCCTGGACTCCCTTTGTAGATCAGGCTGGCTTTGAGCTCACAGAGATCTACCTGCCTCTGCCTCCCTGAATGCTGAATACATTTAGTTCTTAAGTGTAACTCTTTAGCTCAACATGATAAGTGGGAGTTGGTGTTTTTGGTATGTTAAGGAGCACAGACATGGATTGAAAGATCCCCGGAGGGTATCTTCTGTCAGAGAGACCCCCTCTCAAAGAACAACGAGTCTATTCGGATGTAAACAGCAAGAGGCTTTTATTTTGATTCACGAGTACTCGGGGCAGCAAGGTCACTCGGGAGGAACCTTGCGCGCCCCCTAGATGGGAAGCTGGGGTTTTTATAGGGTTTTAGAGGCAGAAGCACTGGTACAGAAGCGAGAGGGCATGGTTACAGGGGGCTGATTGGTACGTTTACACGAGACCACAATTTGCGTCAAAGTTTGGCAGGGGCACCAAGATTTCAGGAACTGGGTGGTCAAGGGGGGTAGGATGACTCCTTGACGTGGCCCGCCACCTGTTATTTTGTTTTTCCCTATCTTAGCTGAAACAGTCTCACAGATATCTATGAGAGTGATTAACACAAACTGTTTTTAGTATGACTGGGGCAGCCTGACCACAGATATCCCAAGTGGGTGACACAGCTAGGATTTCTCAGTAATTTTCCAGTTTCTCATCTGGCCTTCAGAGTTTTATAAAACAGTGGTGTCTCACAAAATGGCGTTAGCCATGTTTAACTTAGTGTGAGGCTGGGGTCTTTCATTCCCCCATTTTCTTTTAACTTAGAATGGAATCTTCCATTCTCGGGCCTAGGAAGAATTAACTTTTGTCTCCTGTTGTTTGAGCTGATGATATTGTTGGGTCAACACCAACGCTTGTCTTGTATGACAGAGAACCGATCTTTTATGAACTGGATCAGCCAATTTAGAATATAAGGCCCAACTAGTAGAATCAGGAGAATTATGATTAGGGGACCCATAATGGAGGAGATCAGGGTGGTAATCTAGGGGGACCGACTAAACCATCTCTCGTACCAGCTCTGTCCTGACTCAAAGAATTGTTGTCTCTGTCTGAGTCTTTTTCTGAGTTTAGCCATGTTATCTCTTATCAATTTAGTATGGTCAGCAGCTAAGCAGATGTTTAAGATAATAGCTAATGTCAGGGAGCCACTTTTGACTTAGCATTTCAGCCTGTTAGGGGGGATTTGGGCGGAGATCCGTCTTCTGGAGCTTCTTCATGCTGATGATTGGATCGTTGATATCTCAGTTTGAAAGAGGCTGAAATGCTAGTCAAAAGTTGGGGAGAGTACATGGGTAAAGATTACTAGGAGCCAGTCAAAGGCTGGTCAATGAGGCAGTCCTAAGCATCTGGTCAGTTGATCCACCGGAAAAGGCAGGGAGCAATCAGGTCAGTTTCTAGGAAGTCCAGATCTCAGCTTGTAGTCTATAGCTGATCCCAGAACAGAGTTGAACAGGTGAAAATCTGCTGAGACAAATTTAGACTGGAGACAGAAGTTAAAATTTATCTATTAAATTGGAAAGATTAGGGAAAACCTCATCTGTGATCTTTTTGAGCTATGTCAGATCCAGGTCAAATCCTGAAACTTATATGAAATTTTTAGTACACAAAAGGAAATGTATAATTTTAAATACTCAGAAAAGTAACATATATATAACTTAAGTGTGTCTACGGTAACATTTTTGTGGGCATAGCTGTTGGTAATTAGCCACAAATGAAGCTTGGCCATTTTTTTTATATATTTAGCATCTTTTAGTCCCCATCTCTATGTTTATATTGGAAAGTTAGGCAGAAACACATTACTGGCTTTAGTGTTAAACCCTGGATGTTTGATTTTTTTTATTTCTGTGTCAAAATCTATCTCAGAAATGGCAGATATTAAGAATATCATATTAAAAGCTATGACTTTTGTGTCAGATATATACATTAAACAGATGTTTTTAACATGATGAGAAGTACCTTTAAGTCTATCTCTAGAAGCCAATCAAAGGAAATTAAAATCTCAACCTGGTGACTGAATAATAAGCAGTCAGTGTTCTATCAACTTATCAGAATTTTATTAATAAATGTCAAAACTCTGAACTTCTGAAATCTCATAACATAAGCACAACAGTAGCAAAGAGGGGGGAGAGATCTAAAATATCTCTCAATTTTAACATGTTTTAAACTATTTTTATCAACTTAGACACTCTAATTTTTTTGTATTTATCAACCCTGAAACATTTTTTCAGACCAAATAATAACATTTTAGATTTTATAACCTAAACTCTTATATCTTTAGACTCTATATAGGCTCTGTATTATTTTTTTAAATCTAGCTATATATCTTAAGACACAGATGACTAACATGAATTCTGTGCGCAAGGCAAACCTGTTTTTTTTTTTTTAAGAGATCTAGTACCCAGTAGTTTTAGCTAATTTAGCTAATGAACTAACAGTGGATCTAATTGTCTTTTTTTTGTGTACAAGATCATGTCACCTGTAGGTGTCTTGATTTCTTTTCCCTGCCCAGGTGCAACTGCTAAGAACTACTGAGAACAGACATCCTTGTCCTGTTCCTGATTTTGGCAAAGAGAAAAAAATGCCATTAAGTATATAGCTGTGGGGTGTCTGTTAATACCCTTTATCACTAAGGAAGTTCCCCTTGAGTTCTTAAGTTGTCTATACTTTTATTGTGGTAAGGTATAGATTTTCTCAGTATCTCCTTTTTTCTTTGAACTTTTTTGGTTTTTCAAGGCGGTCTTGTCATTATAGCCCTGGTTATCCTTGGACTCACAGACATCCGCCTTCCTTTGCCTCCCAAGTGATGAATTTTTTTTTTTTAATGTAAGACAATCTTGCATTCCTTCCTACTTGCCTAGGGTCTTATATTTTTATGTGTTGGTGTATATGTTTCACTTTGCTAATATTTGGTACAGAATGTTTATGTCTCTGTTCACAAGCATCTTGATCTTATGTGTTAATTTCCTGGCCTGTTGTAATTGTTTTGGGATTTTTTTTGAAAAAGTGAGTGTTCCTTATTTCTCTATCATAAACTACTGCCTCATACTAACAGAATTCTCATCTTAAATTCATTTTTCATAAATAGGACTTTAAAGATCATTCATGTTTACTTGGAATTGTTATCTGAGCATTTTGTTTGTTTGACCAGATTCTCACATGTTTAGCCCGGGGACCAGTTTCAGAGACAATGCCCACAGTGATTCAGTGGTACTGACCCGGGGGCCATGTGATGTGAGGAAGCAGCACAGTGTCACCCAGGCCACCCAGACAAGCCCAGAGGTCCCTTCCCCTTCTCAGTCAGCTGACTCTCCTGAGCACCCTCTTGGCATTACAAGGGAACAGGTAACAGGAAACAATGTATGCTTAATTCCAGTACTTAACATACTGTAGTAGTAGTAGTTAAAATACCTTTGATGTATTTAAGTAAAGCTGTGTGTAAGCAGTTGATGCTAGAGTTTTTAAGAAAAAAACTTCCTCTATTTTCATGAAATGCTATCAGAATTTTTCTGTCTTAAAAAAATTAGTTTTCAAGTTTGTATACTATATTTAACTTACCATTGTATAGCATATTTTTCATGATTACATTTGCTGCAAGTGTATTTTAATGGCTGGATGATGTGATGTGGGTATATTATCATTTCTGAATATTTCATTTGCCGTTTCTTAACATTCAAGTTGCTTCTGATGATTTGAAATTATACATAAGTAAAATGTTCTGCAGAGTTTTAATTCTCTATGGTAGGATGGTAGAGGAATTCATTGATCTGTTCAAGGATTTGCTGGACAACCCCTGACCCGGTGTAGGAACTGAGCACTGTAATTGATCTTTGTAAATATAGACTGTCCTTGGTTTTTATTATATCTGCATATGTAGTGCATCTGAGGGCAAGAGACCTGAATTAAATCTTAGAAACTTTTGACCATCTGAAAGAAAGTGCCTTTAGGAATATTCAAAGCCTGAGTCTGGAGATAGGAGAGACTTGTTCTAGACCAGGTTATCTGATGTCTATGGTCCAGTTGAATTATAGGAATAGAAAAGATCATCTAAGAGAATGACTTAAGTGAAAGAGAAAGTGACCAAGTATGAAATCTAATAGAATGTGAGATTTTTAAGGGTTCTTAGTAAGAGGTGAAAAGAACAGGTTGGAAGATGTAAAGATGAAAGAACGGACATAAAGCCAGAAGGATAGAGGATTATGAAGGAGAAAGGAGGTCAACGTGTCTGGAGACACAGAGGCCCAAGGATATTATGGTGAAACAGTTAATTAGTATTTTGAATTACTGGGTCAAAATTTAGGAACACTTTTAATTGCATAGTAAGTGCTTTCAAATAGCTCCTGGAAGCAATTTTCAGCTCAAGTGGATTCTCACCAGCACTGGGTGGTTTACCATTCCGAGTGATGCTACAAGAAAGAGTTACATTTTCCGGAAGTGATTAAAGCCTCTTGTTTTCTAAATGTGTCATTTCAGCTCATGAAGGAAAATGAGTGTCTTAAGAAGGAGCTGGCTCGCACCAAGACAGCCCTTGCGGAGGCTCACTCGGCCAGAGATGAACTTCTCCATCAAATGAAGCGCATGGCCCTTGAGTAGCTGCAGTGGCTGCGAGGGTTTGGATTGGAGCTCTGGAGTAAAATGATTGTTTAAAACTTGATGTAACCAGTTAGTGGGAGATTTCCCTTTACATGAAATAAAGCAAAACAGCCTGTGGTGAAGCGATGACTGTTCCAAACCCGGTTTAGAAAATATTGAGTACCAGCGGTACAGTGTGCTGGTGTGGCCTAGAGCAGGCAGCACACACGGTGACACGATTCCATACCTAGTGAAAGGACGTCTGCTCCTCATTTCAGTGTCTCATCACAAGAAAAGTGAAGACCTATTGTGCTCATGCAGACTGCTGCATTTATTTCTCTCTGTTAATAATTTACTGTTATTTACAAGAAAAAGACGCTTTTAGGGCTAGTAGGCTTACATTTTAAATGTTATTAAAATTATGTACTTAATCTATAATTATTTAATTGCTGTAAAAAGTCCAATCAGATTAATAAATTATATAATTACTGAGTTTACAAACTGAAACCTCTTGACCCTACCAAGCTTATAAAGTAACTTGAACATGTGAAAAGAAAGGCACCTTAAATGATGAGTGAGGTTTGAATAAAGTACAAATGTAAAAATAAAAAGCACAAATATTACAGTATATGGGCAAGTGACTTAAAAGCATTACTTGTACATTCCATTAAATGTTTATCATTAGAAGTTAAAACGCAATTTATCTTGCTATATTTGGTAGTATTTGTAACTATAAAAAATTTAATTAGTACTATTTTAATATTTCTTTATCTTTCCTCTTTAAGGAGAATGTTTTCAGAGAATTTGTTTTTCACGCACAGAAAGCAATTTCATACCATTCCTGTAGTATCATATTACACATGCTTGCTCATATGACTATATAAAGCTAGTTTTGATTAAAATTCTGTGATGTGTGTCTGTGTGTGTTTATATGTGTATGCACACACAGACACACATACAGTCTTCTATAAGAGTCATTGGTAAATTTTGAATTCTATTTTCTATGGGTTAAGGTTGAAGACAACATGAGAGAATCATAATTATGAAATAAAGTACATGAGTATTTTAAGAAACAGGTTTTTGAAGACAATATATTTCTGATAGAATTAAAGTAAGTGGTGTCTATTTTAAACTTCACATTCCTAAATATAACTATATATCCAGATAGGCCATGCAGCAGCTGGACTGTTCTTTCTTTAAGGCACTTGGAAATCCTGGTCCTTGCTGTGACACTCATGGTGCTTTGCTCGTTGGCATGACTCACAGCCATCCCTGCATCTGAGGACTTGGCAGAAAATATGTACTTCATGACATTATGTGTTGGGGTTATTTAAGTTTTATTGTGAACAGTATTTACCTCCCCTTTCCCCATATCATCCTTTTCAGTTGACATCCTTTGAAAATATAGGCGTTGTTTGGGAGCCAGCATACAGCCAAGAACAAATGAAATTGTTACCATGTTACCTCAGAGCATTTATACCACCGTGTTAAAACTTTGTTACTCTAACCTGTATGTAGCCTTAGATTAAGCACAGAGGTCTGATTAGAGCTTGGAATGTATAGCCTGCTGACCTGTGCTGTCTCCGTATGTGTTCAGCAACACAGTCTCATAAGGGAGGGATGTGAACTTCTGAGCTGATGCTGTTTCTCAGGACTGACCTGTTCTACATAAGCAGACACTTTTTCTATGGAATCATGTTATACTGTTTAATGTGACTAGACACTGAATGTTTTCCTTATTTCTTTAAAATGTATTTGGCCTTGCCACGAAATCATATAAACAACAGAGGTGATAATATGCCAAGTACTCTGTATGCTTTGTCCCATTGTTGTTGTTGTTGTTATTACTATTATTTTTTTTTAAATTACTGTTTTAATAGTCGTTTAAGATTCGGGAAATGTCTCAAAATATTTTGTGCATTTCTGCTACAGACACAGAAGGTCAGTTTGACTAGGCTGCTGGGAATTGGAGAGGAAAGAAACCTTTGATTTGCAGAGTGAGCTGACTAGAGCCGCACTTAATGATGGGGTTTTGATTTAAAATGCACTGTTACGTGCTTTGTTTCAGCCCTCACCCATTTGCAGGCTTTGCCAACACAGGGTAAAGGAGGAATCACTGGCTTACCTTTTTCCTTAAAGAAGACTATATGTTTTTTTAAGATTTTATTTTCATTTTTAATTGTGTGTATCTGAGTGTGCATGTGAGTGTAATTAATGCCCATGGAGGCCAGAACAGGGTTTTGGGTCCAGAACAGGGTTTTGGGTCCCTGGGGCTGAAGGAAGCAGTAATTGTGAGCTTTCTGATGGATGCTGGGAACTGCACTTCAGTCCTCAGCAAGAGCAGTGCACACTCATACCGCTCTCGTGTCTGTGTGTGTGTGTGTGTGTGTGTGTTTTACATGTGCTTAGGGATTATTTTGTTAAACTCCTTCCTGCCCCATTTGGGCTAATGGAGCTTTTCTTCTGTCTTTACCCCCTCCACCCAGTACTTTGACAACTGATTTTTTTTGTTGTTGTTGTTTAAGTATTTTATCTATTTTGAGTTGATGTTTTCATCTAGTGTAAGGTTATGGTCTGAGTTCATTCTTCTGCATCCAGTTTCCCCAGCACAATTTATTAAAGAGGTTGTCTCTTCTCCATTATATTCTTGGTAGTTTGGTCAAGGACTAGTTACTTACAAATTCACAGGTGTATTTCTGGACTTCCTATTTGTTTCATTCATATTTGAACTTGTATCTTTTTCTTTTTCCTAGTACCTCACTGTTTGTGTGTGTGTGTGTGCGCTCCTATGTGCACTTTGCTTTTCAATTTAACATCAAAAACATTTTTCAGTGTATTATAGTTATTTTCTCATATCTTAGAAATTCAAAATATGATATTAGCTGTGAGAGAATAGTATTAGTATGAAAGTTATGCCTTGCCTAACAATACTGCATTAACTTAGTTTAATCAAGATATTAATTTCTTTTTTAGTATAAAATTCTTATTTTTTGAGGATTTCATACATGCATACAATGGTTTTTTGATGATACTCCCCACTTCTCCCAATTCCTCCCATATCTACCCCTTTGTCAGCTACTTTTCTGTTCCTGTGGTAAAACACCATGTGCAAGGCCCCTTAGAAAAAGAGTTAGCTTGGGATTAAGGTCCTAGAGAGTTAAAATCCTGTGGCAGTGTAGAGGCAGCAGTCCTGTGGCTGGGATAGCTGTGTTCACAGTCTGATCTGAGCAGGAAGCTGCGAGCCAACTACAAACTGCCTGGCTCTGTGACATGCTTCTTCCAGCTAGGCCACATTTCCTAAACCTACCCAAAACAGCACCACCAGCTGGAGACCAAATATCCAAACATCTGAGCCTGTGGGCATTCTCATCCAAACACCATGGCGTGCAAGTTATCTGTTCCAGTGTATGTTCAGTCCTGGCCCCAGAGATGGTCACCTAGATCTCATGCCAAGACACATTTCCTCATTTCATCACCGAGTCCTTATGTTTACTTTGTAAACGACCTTCAGGTTTGTCGGCTTCATTTCTCAAGAATTCCCTGACCTGAGCTACCATCATCAATTTTATTCTGCACTGCGACAATTGTCTCCTAACTGCCCTTGCTATAGTTACTCTGATTCTCCTTGGACTCCTGGTGTTTAAACAGAACTCTCTTCACCATATGGTAACATTTTTATTAATTCTTTGATAATTTAGTACAATGTACTTTGATAATACACAGCCCCTTCCCTATACCCACATCCTACCTCCCTGTACCCAACTTTATGTCCCCCACCCATCAAATCCAGTTTGTTATTGGCCAGCTACTCCTGGCGTGGCACTTGCCCTGATCTGTGGTCAGTATACCAGGGTCACACATCATTAAACAAAACTGACTTTTCCATAAGCAGTCAGATGCCAATAGCTTGTCAGCTTGGCGTGGGACTTGGTTGCATCCTTTCAAAATTGCTGTGAGTTCACATGTGTATCGTATCAGGAGGGAGAACTAACTGTAAAAGCCTTTTGAAAGAGCCCTATGGGAACCTACTAACTAGTATAGTAGTTTCTAAAATATATACACATGTAAATAAGTTTAAAGGGAGTTAACTTAATAGTGTGTGGGGAATAACACCCAACTAGACACCACGTGTGGCCTTTTACGCAACTTTAATCAAAGCCATTCTAGTCCCCAGAATAAGAACCCTTCAGTAGCTTGCATTGCTGTTCCAATGACAAGTCTTTGACCTCATGTACAAGTACCATTGTCCAGTGAGCACTCAAGAGGTCAGGACTGTACACACACCCTGACAGCACACCTAAAGTACAGGTTAGCTTGCATTCTCATTACCAATTAAACTCATTTTTTAAAAAAGCATGTTTTTCTTTGCCTTCTATCCTTGTTGCTCTGCTCTAAGCATTTAGAATGAAAACTACACACTTTGTGCACATGTGTTTTAGGGGCTTAAGATATATGACCTTCCTCATTGCCTGGATAATTCCTGTTTGTCTCAGATCTTAGCCCATCCGTCATTTCTTAAGGGATATAGTCCCTGGTTCCTTAAGACCAGCTGTTATACCTTCTCACTTGACCACAAATCTCTACTGCTTTACGCCTTTGTAATTTTAGGTGTGTCTGATTAGTGTCTGACCTACTTGATCGTAAACCCCATAAGGACAAGGAGGGTTTTGTCATTGCCATTATTAAACTTTGTATTTCTCAAGCCTTATACAGCACTTGGACATTGGTTCTTAGTAAGTTTATTGAAAGAATAAGATATGGAGTTGGTTTTCAGGTATTAGAGTTTTTTTCCTTAGTTGGATTGAAGCAATTGAACATGGGTAGAAAGGTAGTTAGATATTGGAAGAGAGGTTGGGGGCTCTTTATGTCCACAGTGGGGAAAATGTAAAGTAGCATCATGGGAATGTGGGTCATCCTATTACAGATTTGGGAATATCTGAGTTTCTGGTTGATTTGTCACAGGTGGAAAATAAGCATGTCACTGTGGTACTGCTACTCAGAAGTGTCATCTGGCTTTTGTTGTGACATATGGTGTTATGGCTGTTGAGATCTGCCAGTCCCATTTGCTAAACAGAGTGGAAACAGTCCAAGCGAGCAGCATCTGAAATGCTTTCTCATTGGGAAAGTGACTGATACTCCGAATTTCA